GTTGAGGTCGACGAAGACGACAAGCAACGTACAACGTCAACGTTTTGTGTCGTTGCCACAGGTCAAGGAATTTCTAGGGCCCATTCGATTTATGGTCCGAGGGCGGGCGGAGCAAGAGCACCTGGATCATCGTGTAGTCACGTGCCCTCGTGTGTATACATTACTATTTTGATCACCCTGGATTCACTATATCGAACGACAAAGATCAAAATGGTTTCAAGGATATTAGAATAAGCACAATCGGTTATCACTGCTCACATGGCTGAGTGATACCCTACAAGGTAGCCTGTCATAGTAAGCACCTCAAACATTTAACAAGGGATGATTGGGCAGTTGAGCAAAGCCTTGGAAAGATCTTTGACAAATGAAACATTTATGCACCTTTTTTGTGATTAGGACAGGTCTATGGGACAATGTTAATTTTCACAGTGTGTTTTCCCATTGTTCACCGACAGAATAAATAAAATTGATGCACTTGTTATTTGAATTTATCTGCAACTGTGTTTCCAAAATGAAGGTTTGCTCAAAATAAGTTTTGCCTGCCAAAGAGACAAATTCTGAAATCCATTCCATTTGCAAATTTTAATTCTTAATGGTGTGTTGACCTGTGGATGCAGCTGTCACGAACCATCCCACACCCATGCCCTATGCTGAGACATCCCCAGGATGAACCCTTCACCATGACACCTTCTTTCTTAGTGTTTGGAAGTCCGGTCTTGTGACTGGAAAAAGACCATAACCAGACCGGACCAAGACCGCAAAAGACCGGACCTGCGGTTATGGTCTTTTATTTTTGAAATGTAAAGACCGCAAAAAAACCGGTTAACGTGAACCGGTCTTGACCAGTTTGGACCGGTCTTTTGTAGCCCCTTAAATACCCTTTAAAACGCACCCAAGAACGTACAATTTGGTAAAAAAACGAGAGAGATATGAATTAAAATGTAAATTACTTTTGGGAATAATAGATGTACCAGACTTATTTTATAGAAGCACCAATTCCTAACGGAATTTAACGTTCTTGGGCTCGTTTTGAAGCTATTAGAGATGTTAATAAATTTACCGATTCATAATTTTAAAATATTGGCCTAAAGACCGGTCATAAACCGGTTAAAACCGATACAGACCGAAACCAGTCTGGTCTGGTCTTTTGACTTCTGGGGAAAAGGCAGACCGGTTACGGTTACGGTTAACACCCCTGGGCATCAAAAAACCGGACCGAACCAGACTTTCAAACACTATTCTTTCTCCATGCTAACCCTCAGTAAAAAGCAGAGTCAGACACAGTCAATTAAAAGTCTTGAGAAGGTGAGTAAAAAGTCATGTGTTTGTATGGAATCACTGACTGGTTGTCTTGTAGTCATAGCTCAGGCATGTCCTAGTCATACTTACATGTACTTTACAAGTACTCCCTCAAATCTCACACTATCTTGATTGCCAAGCTTGATGCATTCGTGTGAAAGGACAATGACAAACTAAACCCAAACATTCCATTCAAGTCTGTTCAAACTCCGATATCATGCAATCACGTTGACAATGCGAAAACTCATAGTTCTTCCTTTCCACCACATCAACAGATGTTGAACAGATGGCCATGTCTTTTGATGACTCAACAAATGGCTTCCTACTGCCCTTGACAAATGGCCTCCTCTCTCAACAAACAGTCTTCTTCCTTCCTCAACAAACAGCTTCTCTCACTCAATGAATGGCCTACTCCTGACGAACAGCCTCCTCCTGCCTTCAATGAATGGTCTTCCCCCTCCCTCAATGAAAAGCCTCCCTCAGGGGATGGCCTCCTCCCTCCATTGATGAATGGCCTTCTCATTGGCAAGTGGTTTTCTCCCTCCCTCAACAAATGGTCTCCTCCCAATGGATAACCTCCTTCCAAAGAATGACCTCCTTCTGATGAATGGCCTCCTGTGTAGTGTTCACAAGTTCAGTTCAGTCTGGTTTTTTGCCCCCAAAACACACAACCATGGACCACAACCAGTCTAGGATCAACCCAGATATTGAGGGAACCGAACTGAACCACCTAGGACTGGTCTTTTGCAGTCTATGGAACTGATTCAGACCGATCTAGACTGGTTTTTTTGTGTATCATTTATTATACCAATATAAACCATTTGTACCTCAACTATTATTACTCTGAAACATAAACAGGTTATATACCATAGTAAAGCATGTAACTACCCGTCATTCTACCAATTTTTAAGAGATTTAATGAAGATTTGACATAGCTATGAATGAAGCCAAATTACATCTCCTAGAGACTTGGGTAAAATATGGATTTGGTTATATCTTTCTCAATTCTTAACTGTTTTTGATGAAACAAAAACCCAATAAAAGGTAATAAACGTGGTTACAAGGCTATGTAACGCATGTGACCGTTTAACTGGTTGCAACTGATTAAAACCAGTCTTTGAACGGTTTTAAAAGATTTTTGAAATGAGGCAACCAGAAACCGGACCAACCCCAAATTTGGGCAACTGCAACCAAAAAAAAGACCGGACCATGGTCCAGTTCAGTTCAGTCCACCAGTTTTTGCAGTCCTATGGACTGAACCTTTAAACACTACTCCTGTGTATTAGGTAGAACAGCCTCCTCCCTCCCTCAAAGGACAGTCTTCTTCCTCCCTCAATGAATGGCCCCCTCTCTCCCTTGACAAATGGCATCCTCCCTCCCTTGACAAATGGTGTCCTCCCTCCCTCGAAGAACAGTGTCCCAGTAACTATGTGTGGGCCATCAGCAACAATGTCCCATACCACTGGAGTGGCTGGGTGTACCTTGAATGTCATAACCCAGTGCAGGGCTGCCCTCCACCAGGGTGTTGGTGACATGCCAGCGACGATCATCCAGTTGAGTACTTAGAATTACAAGTCTGGCTTTTATCAATCATGCACAATATTATCAACCTATGTATGTTTAGTGATGAGCACGGGTAACCCGCGGGTGTTTTCACACCTACCTTTACCCTTACCTGATGCAAACCCGTACCCTTTCCATGGGTAAGGGTATTTCAGGGGTGGTGGTAGGGGTTTGTACAGGGTTTGGGGGGTCGAAAACCCACAACGGGTGGACATTAGGGTCAGGTATAATGTACACTATGTAGTCTAATCAATCAGTACATAAGTCAAGGTGGCGCCCCCCTCTTCTTGTCGTGTCATCAGATGTCGTTGTGTCGGTCGTTCCACCGTCCACTGTCATTGTCGTCGTGTCGTCGTTGCAGCGCGGTGTCATCATTGTGTCATGTAATGTTAGAGACGTGGGTTGGGACAGGGGTGCTCACCGGTGGGTCATAAGATGGATGACAACAATGAACGACGAATTGGCCGTTGTTCGTCGTTTGGTTGCCACGTTGCTAACAGCGACGTAGCACCTGGATTCAATGTCAAAGGAAGGAGTGAGATGACAGGGTTGTAACGACTCACCTGGGCTCGAGTGGTGGTGCTGGGCATTCGTCACTTTTCATGGTGTTGGGCACTCGTTGACATGCCAGGTCGTCACCGTCACCTGTCATCCATTTGGCTGGTGATGTGGCGTCGCCTCGTTGTTGTTGTTGTTGGCATGTGTAGTGGTGGTTTGGGGCGTCGAACCATGGTTGGGGAAGGTGGCGGTGATTAAAGTGTGGTTCGGTCGTTGTCGGTGTCAACGTCACTGACGTGGCACCTGTTTTGTTGTGTGAAGAAAGGAAAGGGTNCGGGGGAGGGATCACAATGGCACTTGAACTAATGTGGGCAGTGACGACGATTGCGTCGTCACCGTCTGACGACGTGGCACGTCCATTGACGTGCCAGGTCGCCGTCAGCCGTTGGGCTGCTGACGTGGCGTTGCCATGTTGTCGTTGTTGTCGACGTGTGCGATGGTGGTTCAGAACGTTGAACGGCGGTGGTTGCGGAAGGTGGGGTTGTTGGTCGCGGTTGCGGGTGGTCGTCGATGTGGATAGTGGTTGTTGAGAAAGAAAAGTGTTTGTTTGTTGTTGATGTATGTAACGTTCCTGGCAAACACCGCTCATGCGGCTCACATGATCTATACATAATCTGTTGACCACCCTTGACTTACCCTCACAAAAACCCCCAACCCTTGTCAAGGGTTGGGGTTTTTTGAGGGTCAGAAAATCCTAACCTCTACCCTTACCCTCCCTACCCTTACCCTTGTACCCCTAAGGGTTTGCAAACCCTTGCACATCACTATGTATGTTGTTTGCTATAACTTGAGTGGATCACTCTGCCAGACTAAGCACTGCACATTGCTTCTGAAACACTCCACTGGACTAAGCACCACACATTGCCTCTGCAAAAATGACACATATTGGAATGATCTGTTGGAAGAAGCTTCACACATTTATTCTGCAAAAGTATTTGAGTACACCAGCAAGGCAATTCCTCTGCAAATATTGCTCCACTAGTTATATAATTTTTTTATGGTACACCGCTGGACCAACCACCGCACATTGACTCCGCAAACATAGAAAAAAAATTATAATGAAGTTTGACACATTTACACTGAAAACATATTTGTAAGTGCACAATACCTCCGCAAATATTGCCCCACCGGCAGTGTCATTTTTTATGATATGCTGCTGGGCCAGCCACCACAAATCACCTCTGTATTTATATTGAAAACTTATAATAGCATGTTAGAATATATTTGACATGTTTATACTAAAAACATATTTAACTACACAATACCTCTGCAAATATTGCCCTGCCGGCGGTGTCATTTTTTATGATACGCCGCCGGGCCAGCCACCGCAAATCGCCTCCGCTTTTATATTGAAAATTTATAATAGCATGTTAGAATATTTTTGACATGTTTATACTAAAAACATATTTAACTACACAATACCTCTGCAAATATTGCCCGCCGGCAGTGTCATTTTTTATGATACGCCGCCGGGCCAGCCACCGCAAATCGCCTCCGCTTTTATATTGAAAATTTATAATAGTGTGTTAGAATATTTTTGACATGTTTATACTAAAAACATATTTAACTACATGATGCCTCTACAAATATTGCCTCACCAGCAGTGTCATTTTTTATGATACGCTGCTGGGCCAGCCACCGCAAATTGCCTCCGCTTTTATATTGAAAATTTATAATAGTGTTGTTAGAATATTTTTGACATGTTTATACTAAAAACATATTTAACTACATGATGCCTCCACAAATATTGCCTCGCCGGCAGTGTCATTTTTTATGATATGCCGCCAGGCCAGCCACCGCAAATTTCCTCCGCTTTATATTGAAAATTTATAATAGCGTGTTAGAATATTTTTGACATGTTTCTAAAAACATATTTGAGTACATGATGCCTCTGCAAATATTGCTTCACCAGCAGTGTCATTTTTTATTATACGCTGCCAGACCAGCCACCGCAAATTGCCTCCGCTTTTATATTGAAAATTTATCATAGCCTGTTAGAATATGTTTAACATGTTTACACCAAAAACATATTTAAGTACACAATACCTCACAAATATTGCTTTGCTGGCAGTGTCATTTTCTTTATGATACACTGTCGGACCAGCCATCATGCATTGCCTCTGCTTTTATATTGAAAATTTATAATGGCCTGTTAGGATGTGTTTGTCACATTTACACCAAAAACATATCTAAGTACACAATACCCCTGCAAATATTGCTTTGCCAGTGGTGTCATTTTCCTATGATACTCCACCAGACCAGCCACTGCACATTGCCTCCACTTCCATCTTAAAAAATGTATAATAGCCTGTTAGAATATATTTGACACATTTACACTGAAAATATATTTGAGTACACAATCCCTCTGCAAATAGTGCTCTGCCAGCAGTGTCATTTCTTTATGATACTCCACTGGACTAGCCACCACATAGAACACCCTGCCAAGCTAAGCACTACACATTGCCCCAAAAACACCACCAATCTAATGGTCCTTCTGACTTAGCTGTGCACACTTTCTCTTAATATGAGCTCTGGCTCTGATAGCCAGAGGTAACAAAGTATGCATTATGCAGGACCAGAAAAGGGTGTTGCAGCAACGAGGATGGTATGGCTATCTTGCTTGTTGCTGGGCAGGGATCATCAAAGTTTCAGTTTGTGCCTGAGACATTTCCAAATTGAGGTGATGTGCTTGGTGCACGGGCCCTCCGCCACATGCAAACACTCACCCAATTTCAATCCATGTAACCTGAAAACCAGCCAGCTGATAGACCTCAATGCCATGGTAATTACCATGTTAAAATCTTCAAGAGATGTTTTGTTTCTGTTGACAAACACAGAAAAGAGGGTTTTATGTTGATAATCTCTATCAAACCTTGACTGCATGGTGGCATTACAACAAAAATCATCAAGACTTTTTTTTTTCCTGAACAACTTATTGTCGGGCCTAGCTTGTTAGAATTGTGCCTTTTCAAGCTTTTCAAGGGTGGTTTTTACATGAGTCAAAAGTCATTATTACATGTTGCGGGGCTGAAACAACCTGTGAAATGGTACTTTTTATGATAGAAACCATCAAGACTTTTATTTTCCTCAAACAACTTATTGTTGGGCCTAGCTTGTTCGAATCCTGACTTCTCCAGCTTTATAGAGGTGGCTTTTATGTGAGGTAACAGCCATTATTATGTTCTGCAGAGCTGAAACAGCTTGTGAAAAGGTATATTTTACAATGAACACCATCAAGACTTTTTCTTTTCCTAGGTAACTTACAGTTGGGTCTAGCTTGTCCAAATCCTGCTTTCTCAAGTTTTCCAGAGGTGGTTTTTATGTGGGTTGACAGTCATTTTTTCATTCTGTGCAGCTGAAACAATCTGTGAAAAGGTATTTCACATAAGTGACTCTTCAAAACACACTTGTGAGCATGTACAGAGGTTTATATACTTTCTTCCAAACCAATTTGAAGGATCCAGATGAGTCTCCCCTCTGTAGTCTATCCACTGCAGCTGCAATCTACCCTCTGCAATCTACCTCCCACAATATACCCTCTGCAGCTGCAATATACCCTCTGCAACATACCCCCACAATATACCCACCACAGCTGCAACCTACCCTCCACAATCTACCTCCTGCAATATACCATCCACAGCCGCACTCTGCCCTCCGCAGCTGCAATCTTACCATCTGCAATCTACCCTCTGCAATCCACCCCTCAGTCCCCCCATAGAAAACATATGCAGAAGTAAACAAGAGTACATCAGCAGTACCACCCATTTACTAGTAATCATATGTATCAACTGTCTATTTAATTCTAGTGTTCTTTGCTCTAAACATGATTTTTGTATTTCTAAAAAATATGCAAGCACTACTCTGCCAAAGCAATTTCAAAGGCAGAGCATATTGCTCCAGCAGTGCCATTTGAGAAAGATATATTGCTCCAGCAGTGCCATTTAAAAAAATAATACATTGCTCCGGTGGTGCCATTTATGCTCTGGTGGTGCCATTTTAAAAAAGAATACATTACCCCAGTGCCATTTTTAAAAAAAAATACATTGCTCTGGTGGTGCCATTTTAAAAAATAATACATTGCACCAGTGGTGCCATTTTTGAGAAAAATAGATTGCCCTGGCAGTGCCATTTTTGAAAAAGAAAAACATTGCTCCAGCGGTGCCATTTAAAAAAATAATACATTGTGCCGGTGGTGCCATTAAAAAAAATACATTGCTCTTCCGGAGCCTCTTTGAAAAAATTGCACTGCTGTGACAGAGCTTTATTATATATATATATTGCTCTAAACCTCCAACACAGCTATTCAAAAAGTGTCTCTTATGAAAAGGCAATGTTTTTTTATTGGAAGGTGTTCTGCTGGTTTGTTATATTTATGGGGGGACATGATGTAGACAATAGTTAATGAGGGCTGCTTGTGTTTCAAAAGAAATTGCAATATCTCATCACCTTGCAGTAGGACTCTCATTGTGATTGATCATTCAGTATATTTTTCAGTTGTAATGGCTCACATTCATGACATTTAACTGATGACTGCAGCCCTATCACTACATATGATCACCATCTATGTTTACATGGTACGCCGCAACTTGTGCCGCCAGAGGACAGGGTACACTGCAATTTTCACTGCTGGTTGATGCCATGCATCAGGACATCTCTGCCGGTGAGACACTATGCTGTCGGTGAAAAGGACAGCCAGCACATGCTAGTGAGTCCCTGTAAGGATTGCGGCTGAACCATCACTAAAGGCACATCATAAGATTTTGGCTGTCCGGCTGGGCCCATGTAGTATGGTGTTTTGTCACCTCCAGTTACTCCATTAGGTAAGGCACAATGTGACTAACTAGTGTTTAAAGGTTCAGTCCATAGGACCACAAAAAACTGGTGGACCGAACTGAACCGGACCATGGACCGGTCTTTTTTCAGTTGCAGTTGCCCCAATTTGGGGTTGGTCCAGTTGCCGGTTGCCTCCTTTTGAAAATCCTTTAAAACTGTTCAAAGACTGGTTTTAATCAATTGCAACTGGTTAAACGGTCACGTGCATTACATAGCCTTGTAACCACGTTTATTACCTTTTATTGGGTTTTTGTTTCATCAAAAACGGTTAAGAATTGAGAAAGATATGACCAAATCCATATTTTACCCAAGTCTCTAGGAGATGTAATTCGGTTTCAGTCATAGCTATGTCAAATCTTCATTAAATCTCTTAAAGATTGGTAGAATGATGGGTATTTACATGCTTTACTACTTTATATAACCCGTTTATTTTTCAGAGTAATAATAGTCAAGATACAAATGGTTTATATTGGTATAATAAATTATACGCAAAAAAACCGGTCTGGATCGGTCTGAACTGGCTCCATAGACCACAAAAGACCGGTCCTAGGTAGGGCTGCGCACCGTCTGTCTGACGGACACAGTCATCTAATCGACGGGTGTCGACAGGGGCAGTTCAACCAGCAACCGTCCGTCTGGGTCACCCAAGCAGAAGCAAACAGAGACGGACTGATATAAAACAGCTGCCAACGGATGTAGACAGACATCAATTGTATTGACGTTGACAAATTTCAGTGATACATAGAATAAATGATATTACAAAGGTATTAAAAACAATTGTTACTATCTAGTAGCGTAGGGTGGCATTTGTCTGTGCATGTGTTGTCTCTTAGCGAACATCAGATGGGATGGAGACTAGCACAATGTAATAAACACATGAGTACTGATTACAAAGTACATACAAAGCAGAAATTTACTCAATACCTACCTGCTACAGTCCACAATGAGATCAATTTTTCGGTCTTGGTGAGTGCTTTTGCTTAAAAAATTCATTCCTAGTGATAATTAGAAATAATAATAGTAATTAAGTATCCGAAAATTTAAAAACCAACAGGGGCTGCACGTAAATGAAGAAATATTTGAAGGACAGATTGCTGGTTTCAGAAAAAAGTTCATGGGGTACATGGGGGTTGGAAGGCAATAGCGGCCTTGGTGCAATTCTCATTTCAGACTCCACATATGTGGTGACACCCATCAACCCCATTAATGCCCATCACTTAACAGAAACAGACGGCCTTTCCCGTACATCTACCATATGTCAGGAGACTTGCAACAGGCCCAGACAGTAGGGTGACGGTGCCCATCTGACGGACCTGTCTATCTGTCTAAGACAGACACAGTGAGCAGCCCTAGTCCTAGGTGGTCCAGTTCGGTTCCCTCAATATCTGGGTCGGTCCTAGACTGGTTGTGGTCCACGGTTGTGCGTTTTGGGGGCAAAGAACCAGACTGAACTGAACTTGCGAACACTATGACTAACATATCACTGGACACATGACAAGATACAGTCGTTTGCATAATGGATTGCACAAGGGAATTTTCAAAAACTTATTTGGTAGTGTTGGGTAGTGTGACTTTTTGTCACACTTTCCAAAATGTACCCCTTTCCCATGCCAACACACTCGTGTGAATCCAATCACTATACTCGCTTTACAGTGGGCACACCAGCTCTTAACCATTGACCTGCATACAGTTTACTTGCTGCGCCATTCAAAAGCTCCAAGATTTAGCTTGTAACCACAGGCGGAACCTCCTCGAATGATGCTTGGGCCAGCCGCCACAGGTTTTCAGTGGGCAAAGGTTAAAAGGTGAGTGAAAGACCATCTTTTGCATTCATTCCAAGCTCATCATGCCTCCTCAGCCATCTCAGAACACCAATACTACTGCAGGGAACAATGAAAATCACCCCCCTTTGTCCATGACTGATCCAACAACCAGTGTCCTTCTGCAGGCTAGTTGAAGAATCCCACCTAGATTAGTATGTGTCGCAGCAATTATTAGTTTTTTCATCCAATGATCTTCACACAGATGGCGGGGTCAACCCGCCACACCTCTACTACTCTCATGAAGAAATCAACAATGCGCTGGTTTCTGCTGGCCACATTCCACACCCCGTTCTGACTGAATATGATCAGCTCGCTTCACACATCTCTCCAACCCCATTTTGTGAGCCACCTTTCCCAATATCAAGGCTACGAGGGCGGCCAAATGTTCTCATAAAGGGGTTTGTAGTTGTCCCATAGGAAATAAGGTAGTACACAGTGTGAAGGCTGCAGCCAGTGAGGTCTGCCATCTCTTGTGGATGCCTCCCCTCATCGCGCCAAGCCAGGATGCACTCACGCACAATTTCTGAGATGTGGGGTGCCATTCAAAAGATATTTCACAATGTTTTACTAATTACAATATGTATGTTCGTCAAAGCGCACCATGTGACTACCTCGAGGTGAAGCCGAAACGGGTGAGCATGACACTATACAAACAAGATCAAATATTTTTTCAAAAAATCGTTGTGCAATCCATTATGCAAACGACTGTAATTTGTCTTGGAATACTCTAAAAATATCTTTTGGAAGTTCCTTATTTTTTCCCTGTTTTCCACCAAGAAATACATAATACATCTATAAAGATTCTTTTCAATGAATGAATGTCAAATATTGATAAAATATGTTGGAAAACATGTAGAACATATTGAGATACATATATAGACAATTCAAATTAACCCAATATCTTTCAAGTAAGTTTCTATATGTTTTTAACATGTTTTATAAGTATTTAATCTTCATTTATTGAATACAATCTTTGTAGATGTATTACATGTTTCTTACTAGAAAACAGAAGAAAAATAAGGAACTTTCAAAAGATATTTTTAGAGTATTTCAGTGCAGATTATCTTGTCATGTGTCCAGTGTATGTGGCCTGGCCCAGGCTCAGGCGCTAAAGTTGCACTAACAATCAGTTAGTCAAGTTCTTTGAGGTTTACGGTGTGTTCCCGCTATCACTTTCTTTGAAGCTCCTAACCATGCACCCTACAGTTCACCTCTCATGCCATATCTCCCTGGGCAAGGTGCGGACTAAGTGCTGGATATGGGATGTGGGAATATGACAAAGTGGGCAAAGGCACAATTGAGGGAAGGGAGTTGTTTGGAGTTGGTGCGTGTTTCTCATTTTAAAAATGGATGTGTGTGCTCAGATATTGCTGTGGTGTCAGTGGATCCAGCACATTCACATTGGGAATTAATGTGTGGTTCATGGTTCGAAGCCAATTCTCCAAAGTGTTTCCCCCCACAAAATTCACGCAACCATTTGACTCCACCTCAATGCAATTTTGCATGCACTAGGCTTCAAATCATACAAACCATACCTCTTCAAAGCAAGGTCCTGCCACTCTGTGAGGCCATGGCTCAGGCCACGGCTCAAGGCTTCATGCATGCATTGTGAGCCTGAGCCTTGGGCTTTCCTGGGCCTTGATGACGGCCCAAGAAGGCCCAGCTTTGGAACGGCTGGCCCTGGCTGGCTTACGGCTTTGGGCCGGGCCTGGCACATCACTAACTGCATCAACAGATATTTTCGCCCTGCGGAAGTATCAAAACTAGCCAGGGAGAAACTGTAACTCCCCACTAATTTTGTGATGCATTCATATCCACAGCGCTGCCAGCAGTCAGGACAAACTTCCGATAGACCCTATAAATCGTCACTCGAGTCGAAATATGTATATTTTCCGATGATAGGTGGAAGTTGGAGAAGTTATCTCGTTCGTATGCTTTATTCCAAAAAACTTAGTGCGTGATGCTGGACTGAAGAAAGCTGCCGGGGAGGCGTTGGTCCAACACGCTGGAATACTTGTTTAATTGCTGCCGACGAAAGGTCATTATGAGGGGCCATTAATTTCGACCGATTCGATGTGCGAAGCTTGATCCCGACCCCTGGTCTCCGGACAGTAGAAACAAGTGGTTGGGTTTAAGGCTGGAAAGGAGATGCTGTGATTTGACTCTGAGAAACGGCGACGTCGGAAGGGTCGGAAAGATACGTAGCGAGAGAAGCGGTTACAAAAAAATAACGAAGAGGCTTGGGGTGAAGATTCCTGCTCAAGGTTGCCATCTCACATTTAAGTCCTGAAACGTAGCATGGGTAAGTACCTCTGAAAACACGTTTTCCGAAACCTAAGGGGAAAAAATTGCATTCAGCAAATAATCCATTCCCAATAACACATGCATTGACCCCGTGCATCCTTACTTACCTAAAAACCAGCCTGACCGACGGTCATTTTGTACGCGCATCTAAGATGGCCTGACAGTCGTTTCCGAAGAGGGTGGCACTCACATTGGCGCAGTCTGTTCCAGATTAAAGTGACAACCTGGGCCAGAGGCATGTTCGTCTCGCAGAAATGAACAGACTTCTCCACGAGGAAAAAAAAAGACATGCCATGAGTAGAGAGAGGCCAGGCACGGGGAGTTTAAATAGACATGGTGAGTTGAACAACAAGGAAGCCAGTCCCAGAGAAACATTGAGTTGGGACTTGCAGATTTGTAATTCTGCACAATTTTGAGTTCCATGATCGGACGGAAAGACGTTGCGGTGTGGTGTGGGCGGGCCGCGCTGAAATAACATCTGCGTCCATTTTATATTGTAAATACCGTCGAAGACAAAGAGGACGTCGATAGCCGAGAACCCAGTACCCTTCGAGTTGCCCCGAGTCTTGCAATCGGCCTGCGGTGAGAGCAAATTTAAGGCTACAATATTCGGATTCAGAATCCATGATGGAAATGCACTCACCGTTATGCATTCGCTCGAACTGAGGAGCTCCGCGACGCGTTTAGCGTGTTTCCTTTCAAATTCCGTCGCCGTTGAGTCAAAGTTGGGTTGAAACCAAGTTGAAACGAAAAATGTTGGTTTTGTTTGTTTGTGATACCCTTTTCCACTGGCAGAGCCACACAACGTCCACTTGCTCATCCTCCTTATCTTACCATCATGGCCTCGAGGAACGCAGGATACCATTCTCCCCAATCAAAGTGCGCTTGCTCGACTCTTATTTGGGCTTATAATCAACTCACATTCGGTACAGCAGGTACAACGGCGACCTGGGCAAGGCTCTTGCTGCCGAGCTCGGAATTCTTTTGGAGGAGGTCGGGAAGCTGAGGGACGAGAGAAAACAACTGCAATTGTGAGTTTTTGGATGAAGGACTCCTCCAAATTGATCACAGATCACCCCCGCGCAGCGAGGTAGCCGAACTTCTAGCTATGAAAGCCAAACATGGCTTTGGTGGGGAGTTTCAACCCGATTGGCAACCCCCAGTGCGTTACATATGCCCGAGGGCAATCGGACGACTTACGATGCGACTTGTAGATGCCTCCACCCGCAATCGAGGCACCCCTGCCTCCACCAGCGATCGAGGATGTTCCGCAAGCCAGACCTGGGTGGCGCGTAGTGCACAAGCGACCCGAGCGTAAAGCAAGGACGCAGCCGAAGATCACAGCAGGCCCAGGTCCATCATCCTCTCCAGCTCCAGCGGCTCTTCCCCCGCCCGTTCAAAACGTACCTTCTTGGGCTCAATGGCGACGTACGTCCTGCGTTCAATCATTCACGTCATCACTCACATATCCTACTAGCGAACCCCCTTCTGGCACCTACGCCCGTCCAACCACCCGTTCCCACATCCGTATCCCCTCCACCACGCGCAGGCCTCTTTGGTGCGTCTACACCTCCCCCTCCAGGCGGCGGGGGCAGATAAATTCAGCTGAATACTCACCATGGATCACGACCCTCACCATCAAATCCAGGACCATCGACTCCTCCACCGAAGTGAATGGACACTGCGGGGGGCATATATCACCCCCAACTATCGCAATCGAATCGAACCCATAAACCGATTTCCCTATATCTTTATCGTATACATCCATCTTGGCCGGCGATAGAGGACCGACCGCGAGCTAAACCCGTTCGGTTCAGCTCTCCGCGGCGTATCTTACAGTGTTCCGCCATTGCTGTGCAGCGACGCTTTATACCATACGGGACCTCCTCTAGGCAGGGGGAAAGGATTGATAATTTATTGTTTCTTGATGATATACATAGCAAATCATTGTAACAATGTAAAATAGATGTAGGGGCCTAATCCAGTATCTAGTGTTAAATGGTGCATAGCCACTTTTGACAACGTTGTCACCTCACACTTCGCCTTCACGCCTCGCGTTATCGTCGTGCTCTCAACAGGCCGCGCACTACTATGAATATTGTCAGATAAATCTGGGAATTTCTGACCCCTGCCCAGCTTTGAAATTGCTTAGAGACTGTCTGTCTTGGCAGGGCGCTGCCTTCTTCACTCCTTCTACATCGCTTTAAACTGCTTTAAACCGCAATGAACAGCGCACCAAATTTGGGCCGTAGCCGCATTCCTCTTCTCGGATCCTCATAAAACAGGCCCTTTCTCTAAACCTCTTCACACCTTGTCGTTTCTCCTTTTCGCTTTTGCCACTCGCCATGTTCGTTCCGTTCATCACCTCACGCGACTCCCGGGGAAGCCTTTCTCGGCGGAAAGGTGGAGGGAAGAGCAGTTCAAGTTCAAGTTCGGGGAAGAGCTCGAGTTCAAGTTCCGGGAAGAGCTCGAGTTCGAGTTCGAGTTCGGGTAAAAGCTCCAGTAAAAGCTCGAGTTCGGGGAAAAGCTCAAGCTCCAGCTCAGGGAAAAGCTCGAGTTCGAGTTCCTCAAAGACTACGACCATCAAGAATTCACCCTCCAAGTCTTCGAAGAGTACACCGGGAAGTCGGGGAGGAGGTGCTGCCCAGGTTATACCAACTGGGCAGCTTTTTGCTGGGCGCATTGCAGGCGGGGGAACGAGATCTCAGATTTTTGGATCCAGGTGTGTTGTGCACGATCTTCATTTGATTACTCCCTAAAACAGGCCTTTTAGAACGTATGGCAGCGGGTACCCAGGAGTAGTCGGTCGCGGTACCGCAGGCCGTGGTTTCCCGTTTTTCTTTTGGCCGATTGTATGGCCTGTAGCTGTTGGAGCTAGTGCGGCTGCGTATCTCAGTGGTAGCGATGAGGTTAGAACAACTTGCTTACTCCTTGCGTCTAACCATTAACATACATCACAGTACGGAAAACCAGATAATACAAGTCGCCCAGGAGGACCAATGGCCACCGCCGCCTTCCCCTCTAAAACGGGAACATGTATCTTCCAACTCGTCGCAGACAACACGACCGTCGCCTCCCTCATCACCAGTCTTTCATCCAACTGCAGCACTTACCTAGGTTCGTCCGTTGCAACCAAGCCGATACCATTCAACGCCTCCGATCCGGCTGCACCCAAGCCGGAACAGGTCATCCAATATTATCGCGCTAGCACGATTGCCCTCACTCTGGATGGATACAATAACACTGCGACGATGGCTTCTGACACTCCTGATACAGCGCTTCCCTCGAACGTTGATCTCTCACTTATGAATTGTTTAAACCAGACTATAGGTGTTAATGCACCTTTAATAGATGGGGCGATTCCCCGATGGACTACTACACATTTTGGACTACTGGGCTTGATATGGGTGGTGCGGTGTTTGATTTCATTGTTTTAACGTTACTTCTCGTATAGTGACTGCTATTGCATGAATTATGACCTTTTAACGATTCGGGTTATCAATCGTCATCAGCTGAATTGATAGGAAAACAGTTTGAACTCCTGCCTAATTTTTATTCCCGCTGGTTCATACCTGTCGACGACGGATCTGTGGATAGATCCGGAGTAATTTCCTGCGATCCCCTTCCACCCACATGATCCACTGAGTCCACTGAAACCTCCAGTCTTCCACGTAGCAAAGGATTGCGACTTCAAGGTACCAACAGGCTAAGTAGTCTTTGAAATGACGGAACCACTGGCTGTGGCACTCCTCATTAGACTTTGGTTACTGAAAACAATCCTGACTATCCGAGTCTCTTGGGTCGTCCAAATACCCCGATTTTATTGAGGGAAAGTCTCTAGTCACTCGAAGCAAGCGAGTATGTAGGATTTGTAAGCTTCAGAATTGCTCCCGTCACGGTGCCGATTTTGGATTCACTCCGAACAAGCTTTAGACCCGTGCCTACGGCACGGCACTCGCTAACGCTCGGCCGTTCCTCCAGCACTGGTCACAGCTTGCCGGGAGCACGCCCCCTGGACCCCCTGGTACACATGTTTAATCCTAGTTCTGGTACACATGTTCAATTCTGGCTCTTCTTACATCTCAATCAAAATAAAGTGACATTTATCAGTACTTTTACCATTTACATCAATCTAATAATACCTCTGGATAGACTACATTTTGTGTTACAGTTTGTTGTGAACCATCTTTGAAGAGAACTTTGATACGGTTGCTTGATGTGCAATGTGAAAGAGCCACATAAAGTTGTCCATGTGTAAATACTGGGGTCCGAACATCCAGTCCTAAATGTTTCACTGACTGTCCCTGAGATTTGTTGATTGTCATGCAAAAGGCCAGGCGAACAGGAAATTGCCTTCTGCATAACTGGAATGGAAGTTCACCATTTGAAGGCTCAAATCTTATGCGGGGAATGAATGCTGTGTGTCCTGCAAATTCTCCTCCCAGAATGTGTACTTCTAAAACTCGGGAAGAGGCACAGGTGAGGATTGCCCGGGTTCCATTGCATTGTCCATTTGCTGGATCAATATTTCGAAGGATCATTACTGGTGCACCTATCTTGAGTTTCAATTTTGCTAGAGGCATTCCACTAAGGTTGATGGAATTGAGGTATTCTACTGGGTATTCAAATTCACCATCCACACCTCCTTCTCTCATAATAGAGTCTGCTGAGTGAAATGTAAATTCATTTCCACGCATGCGTTGAAGTATCGTTTCATTGAGATCATCAACATCATTATTTCGAGCTGTTAAAATGGTCCGATCAAGGAAATACTGGTCATTTCTTGCATTTTGAGACAAAGTGGTTAGGCCAGGATAGAGAGCATTAATTAGAGATACAACATCATTCCCACATTTCATTCTTTCTGGCAGAAGAGTAGAACCATCTGCATTTGTATGCTTCCCATGCCCAATTTCAATAAGCCATCATGCAAAGTCTTTTTCTTCCTGTGAAGTATTCTCCAGATGCATATTCTCTTTCAAAGTCAGAATGTTGACAGATGTCCAGAGATGTGATCGCTGAAAACACTGGCTGACAATTTGTTCCCGTCCACCTTTGACAACTACTGGAAGAATTTGTTGAAAGTCTCCTCCAAAAATAACAGTAACTCCACCAAATGGTACATCTGGTTGATCTCTAATATCTCTGAAGCTAATATCAACTGCTTCTTGACACAGTCTATCTTGCATTGGTACCTCATCCCAGATAATTGCATTGACAATTTTCATGAGATCTGCTAGATGTGTCCCTTTCTTAATTGAGCAACTTTTTCCATCATGGAGTTGAATTGGAATACGGAATGTGGAGTGAGCAGTTCTTCCTCCAATCAATTACAGGGATGCAATGCCAGAGGATGCAACACAAAGAACTATCATTCCATTCCCTCGAAGATGGTAGCAAATGGTATTGTAAAGAAATGTTTTTCCTGTTCCTGCAGGACCATTCAAAAAGAACATTTTTGGTGTGTTACTTTCTATTGCATTTATAATGGCATCATATGCTGCACGTTGCTCTGCATTGAGTTGACCAAGTCGTTGTTGAGCTTTATGGGGGTGGAATAGGGAAAGGAAGAATAAAAGGTACACCACCACCAACAGCAGGATTTTGAGGTGTTCTCCTATGCTCAGGACTTTCCAACATCCTTTCTTGACGCTCTCTTGCCCTCTCAATATTTCTATGCCTTTGTGGAGTATTAGGAGGAGAATCCCTAGGGAATAAATGATAGTTAAGTAATAAAGGCAGGGAGCAAAAGAAATATCCTACATCAAGACCAAAAGGACAACTGAAGCATATATTCTGATTACCAAAAAAAAGAGAAAAAGATCCACATATTGAAGCAACTAACCAATCAGCAAAACCTTGTGAAATCCTATCATCAAAAGTGATCAGAAGCAATCCAAGTGGACAAAATGTCAATTGAAGGTATCTAAAAATAGTTGAAGGCTTTCCATAATGATCAAAATGTTATCCAGAAACTTACAAAATAATGTATCAGAGTTCGTGGTGGTTTGTGGAACAGTGAGGCAGGAGCAGCCTGAAGCCGTGTTGAGAAGTCTCGTGAGGGTGTGAAGTGCTTAGTAAGATAAAGCTGAATTTGTCAGCCATCAATCCTTTGTGTTTTCATGTATAGAAGAGAAGATCATCAAGTCGCATTGATTCCGTTTTGTCTAACAAAAGTTCTGGAAGTTGAAAGCCTACAAAGTCAAGCACTATCGTATTGCAATATGACTTCAACTCAAGCGTCATTGTTATCTTACTTCCCCACCGCGCTCGAATCACCCACAGCCACGGTACATCTCGAATACGAGCCAGACGCTCTTCCACCAAAACCCTCGGAGGACTGGACGCGCTTCGTGTGCATTAGCGACACCCATACCCATACATTTCATGTCCCAGATGGCGATGTGTTGCTTCATAGCGGGGACCTGACACACACCGGGAAAGTGGTTGAATTTAAAAAGACGATGGAGTGGCTGTATGGATTACCCCACAAGCTCAAGATGTGAGTCGTTTTCATAGCCTTATGCGAGCTTTTCTTGATATTGGGAAATTGGAGGAAGTATCATTGCAGGGAATCATGATCTCACGTTGCATGAGGATTGGTACGCAGACGAGTATGACAGATGGCATTGGTCCTCTGGAAAACAGGTTTGCTTTACTCCCCTTCCTATGTAGGCAGTTAAAACTTTGCTTCAGGATACCGCTCCCATCCGAGAGATGCTCAAAGGGAAGAGAGCCATTGATGCGGGCATTGTCTACCTTCAAGACGAAGAGTACAAGTTCAAGGTCAGGGAAGAAGGAAGGGAATGGAGCGTTTACGGCTCACCCGTTCGTACCACCATTTCGGAGTCTGTTCAAGTATCGGTGATACTGTGTTAGTGGTCACCAGAGTTCTGCGATTGGGCGTTCAACTACAAGAGAAGCGAAGCCGACCGTGAGTTTCTTATTCTGCCTGACTTGTTTGATCTGCTCATTGACCGTTATATAGGCATCGTCTCGAAGATTCCTAAAACTGATATTCTGTACGTCCGCTTTTAGAATCCTCCTTTCCCTCACCTCTCATTGCGCAGGTTGACGCACGGCCCGCCGTTCGGAATTTTTGACCGATGCGTAGACGGCGAAGACGCTGGCTGTGAAAACCTCCGTGCCCGTTTGGCTGTACTAACACCTCGCATCCATCTCTTCGGACACATCCACGAAGGACGGGGAGCGTATATTCACGCTTGGGACCCCAACAATAAGGGAAAGATCCCGCTTGTACAATCTGACGACGAGATTTCACAAGCGGAGATGGACACTGAAGAAATGGCAGGGTGGAAGAGAACCGCATTCGTAAATGCCGCAGCTTGGCCCGCTGGGACTAGAAGATCGCGAGATGGAGTAAGGATGCCGTTTGGTGGGCCGGGGTTTCAACCTGTAGTCGTTGATTTGAAGGATTAACCTGCGTTGGTTGTGGGTTATGAACGAAGTAGGTGAGGGGACCTTCATGTTGCACAGCGCTTCAATTATTGACTTCCGCTTCGTTAGAACTACATGATGATTCCTCATGCGTGCCGGACCCACACTGCCATCATTTGTCAAGTATTAAACCGGTAGTGAAAATCTTAACAACCTAATCACGATGGTGAAAGTTGGCACAATCTTTTGTTGCCATCGGTAAAGTGCATCCAGATGCTACTCTGACTTTTACATGTGGGCCCCACAATTTGAAACTCCTAGTGAAGATAAAACGCGAAAACTTGAAGGTCCTCCTATCATCCAGAGGAAATAGTCATTGCCCCAACTGCCAGTGCTTGTGACAGCCCCAATCCTTACCTGTGGAAACGTCCCTTGGCTCATATTCTCAAGCGCACGACTCCCTACTAACGATATATTCTGAATCTCTGCAACATCAAAAAGTAGCTGATATGACGTTTCTCTCCAAATTTGGCAGAACTTTGTGTTTTTTTTTTTCTAAATAGCTTTTGGACGATACACGGGGACAGCAACCTGACGACGGTCACGAAAACTCCAAGATGGTCGGAAGTTAGCATGCAGCACGAAATATATTGGGAACAGCGGGAGAATGGCAGCCCTTGTACTGTTATTGGTCAGCATTGAATGGACAAAACAACTTGAAGGCAGCGTACAACCTGCAGGCAGACATGATCGCAAGTCCTATGCGCCTCGCCCGGAGCATAGCGAAGACGTATCCTCACAGCTATGTTCTTACCTGGGTTGGCCTCTGGACTTGACCACGACAAACACGGAATCAGGTTGAAAATAGTCTCGGTAAATGTAGTCTTGTTCTGCAGAAAATCTCGCACATAACGCTTTGAACCCTGAAGATTTTGAAAAACTTGTCGGCCGTGAGCTCCTCCTGCGCACATATGACAAGTCTATCAAATATTGGAACCCAGTCAACTAGAGCGATGGAGCATATATTCCACGAGGACTAGTACAATTTGGTACTCGACAGTGTACCACATAATACGGGACCGGGAAACGGAAAGAGGGTCCAAGAGTATCAAGCTCCGGGATTTTTCCAAGGAGGCCAGAGCGTTCAACAGATAAGTAAAGGCCAAGGAGGCGGCGTTACCCAAGGATCCATTAGTTTCTTTGATAGCAGGGGAGGCGACAATCCACTCCATACGTCCATAAGTCCCATTAAACATGCCCAGCTTTGGGCCGCACAATCCAAAGCGAAAGCTTTCGGAGTCGCGCACACCGCAAACAGACCCACTCTCAGTACTAAGACGTCGCCTACAGTTGTCTCTCTCCTGTGAATTCTGGCAATCAGTCAGATCAGACGCGAGAGTATGTATCTCATCCTTGACTTCAAGATTGCCTTGAACAGCACCCACGCCAAAATGTGGGTTCGCGCGGGAATCGCGCAATTGAAGCCATTCTTCAATCAGGGACCATCGTACCATCGGGTCGCAGATCCGATTCTCAACTCCAACTAGAGTTGCGATTTTGGTTGATGACGAGAGGGCGTGAATCGGATGAATCTGAAAACGACGATGTGTTTAACTGAGGCGTCAGTATTCTAGAATTTGGGCAGTCATTCTGGCGGAGATGAAACGCGCGATCATTTTCCGTTGCTAGCGGTTTCCAATCTGGTTGTTCGTGTGGAGCATGATATCTACCTTTCAGTCGCAGTGAAGCGTCTTCATATAGGGCACCGAGGTTCCTTCATCCTCTCGTCTGGGTAGAGTATGGACCAGGGAGGCTGGTATGGTGGCCTGTAAATAGGCTCAGAAATGTAACGTGGACACCAATACTGAACGATAAAACGACTCTCACCGTGACCATAGTCCAAGGAAAGAGCCCCGATATAAATTGCTCTTACTTATGTACTTCCATCTAGCGAGGTGACCACCACCGGCCTCGTTCCGTATGTGAGCCGTGTAAGCGCCACATGGCAGAAGATAAAGATGTTCTGGCGGGTGATGAGGTCTCACGAATTTCGGGGTGATATTTGGGTGATATTGAATTTACTTTAGGCGCTTGAATAAATGCGAGGATGAAAATTTCTCGAACCGTTGGACTTTTCATCGGATGGGCGTCATCCAAGGCCATCGGGGGTGCCTCCCATGACCACCTGGGGAGCGCCTTCCTAGGTCATCGGAAGGGAAGTACCCTCGGATGTTGGGAGGAGCGCCCTCTTACACCACAATAAGGGCTGGTGGACTGCGAACCGAGCCGCTTCCAAGTAAATAGAACGATTCTGGCAGCCTGTTAAAGGGTCTAATCAAAGGCCCCTCCCTCCCTCAAAATTGTATCTGCCGTAAAGCTGTCAACGCATATGAGACCGGGAGGAGCACACACATTCTCTGGAACGACAAACAGCATGGTGCCTGAGTTCGATACCTTGTCTGAAGGGTTCTGATTCCCTTCACTTAGTCATATCGGTGGAATCTGACGGGATAGAGACACGCATGACGTACCAGATTTTGCCAGCTTTCGGGTGCGTTCCGGTCTTCCAGCGTGGACTCAGAGCGGATAGTGAAGGGATCTTCGCGGCGTCCAATTGGATACTAGTGCCGCGAGCCTAAGTCTTGGGACGAGAGGTTTCTCCAAAATTCTAACCTTTTCTTGCCTAGACGAGGAGACTACAAGAGACTTATGGAAACGCGATTTTGAGCAAAAAGGTGTTTGCCTCTTCGTGGTGGGACCGAGTTTAAGGCTTCAAGAGGTCTGGAAAAGATAATATGTAGGTTCAGGGATTGGCAAGGGTTTAGTGTGCAAAAGGAAAGAGACAAACGACATACCAATTTGAGGACAAGATAGCACGTGTCAAAAATTTAGTGCGTTGTGACGGAGCTCTAACATCGTTCTTGTTCTTGACCGCCATACCATCCTATTTCCTCGTTCTCGAGCACTCTCGACGCCTGAAGCACGGGGACCGTCATCATATGCTACTTAGCGCTGCTGATATGGATTTCGCGTTGTGGGGAGGGTCGAGTTCAAAGCCAGAATGTCCGTGCTCCGGATGGTCAGGATGAGGTGCGTTGGTTCTGCTTCGCTCGCCAGTATGTGTACCAAACGGCTTCCCGTTCCGCAGGGCTGCAGAAAGATACGCGTCAACAGCACCGAAACGCGCTTGCAGTCACTTTTTTGTCTCATCGTTCGCCACGGCAGTTTAGCCAGCGGCGACGCGCCTTGACGATGCTCTTGTTCAGTCAGTCGTCATGGGTGGGTCAACCTTATCGGCTTTTCAGCGCTTTTGAGCCTGTCTACGCCACGAGGGATTGTGCATGCAGCGTGTTAAGGCCCGCACCAAACTCCGTTCTATGTAACACTTTCGTCACCACTCGTCACCAAACTCCAAGTTCTGACCTGGTTTCTAGTATCACAATGAGTCTGGACAAAATATGAATACTCACAAACCTATGTGAGCCTCCACAAGGAGGGGTGGTAGAAACTTATCCGCTGGCAATCTCAATTCCAATTTTTTGTGGGCGCCATCAGATGCCGCTCAGCAACACATGTTCGACTTTAGGATCAACCACGACCCGGTAAGAATCGTTCATTTTACACTTTTGTGCACTTCTCTTACCCAACTGCACACGTAGGGCAAGATAGGACACCACACATAATCTCTACGCATAAGAGGAACGAGGTTTCTTTTCGTTTTCGTTTTCATTGCCGGCAACGTGGACTGCTTCAACGCCTAATGTCACCGTAAAAGTGCCCCTGTGTAGGCCCACGGATAAGACCCCTTGAGCACGCATGTTTGCCTGGCGTGCTTGCTTTATAAAGAGGTAAAGCCCCCTTCGTTTCTCATCCTCTCTTGTCGCTAAAATTCCCTCTGCTGGATCACCAAGCTCTATCCCTTTGCTCCGCTTGACTCCTCTCCCAAAGACCTCCTTAAGCTCACTTTGAAAGGATGGGATTGCTTCTTCCTGCGTCTATCGATCGCTCAAAGGCGCCACACCTGGTTCTTTTACAGTTATCTATTCTTTATACTCTGTGGCTCACAAAGATTATTGCGAATATTACATCTCCTTGCGAAAGTAAGCTACAATCCATGTCTTTGCTTCTCTTCCCTTCGTCAGCGCTTACAATTTGTTCAAGGATTATCATTATCGTGACTATTCGGCGTCTATCCAATTTTTGGAACATTGGTCTCGACCAATGTCTAGGTTTGTTTTCGCATTCTATTTCCTCATCAAAATTCTTTTTTCCGTTGCCTTGTCTTCACCTGCGCCCAGTCCCTCCGACAGGTCTCGGACCGAGGAACGCACCGTCGGCTTCCTCATTCCTAATCGACAAAACGCCTTTCCCATCTTTTTTAATTTTGCAATGCCCCGAGTAAACCTTGTTTAACCGAGCAGAACCTTCTCTAGACCGTGGAGGATGCGCCGCCCAGTCTACAGACTGCAGGTCCACATTCAGACGCTCTGGACGCCACTGCCAGTCCCTGTGTTTGTGTTGAGGACCCTGCGCCACGACGGCGCGACCTCTGCCCCTCTGATCATGCGCCTGATGCCAGACGTCAACTCCGGCAACTCGCACACAAGAAAACATTTTTTGCGTCGCGCTCAAATTCGCTGCTCCCAAGTTGCCTCCCTCGTCCTCTACGATAGGTACGTATGTCTTAGTTGGGTCCTCATCCTCGGTATTTACTTTGATAAAACTGCAGGGCCGAACACAATTGATATCACAAGCATGACCACTTTTGATGTAATCTTCCCAGGTGCCTATCATTGGAGATGTCGATCGCGCCATTTTTAGACACAGGCTGCTTGACCCTCCGCCGTCTGACCAACCGTTTTTCGAAAGAAGCACCCTGTTAATATCAAGCCGCATTGCCTCCGATTCTAATTGGATTTCTATATTCCGGTTCGGACATTTACCCGCTTGGCTTTCTCTTATTGTCTTCTTGACAGTGTGTTTCATCTTTGCAGTGGAGTGCAGCGCCAAAAAAGTGGTGCTATCGCTGATCAAGACATACAGGACTAGTCTAAGAATAAGCGACGAGAACCGATGAACAGAGGACACGACAGAAAAAATAAGGTGGCGACAATGTCGCACGAGGTGATAAAGAATAAAAGTAAGTGGTTGGGTATAATGCGGAGGGGGGTGGTATGGGTGTGGTGAAGGAATGACTCGTAAACGGGTTTTCATAATCAACGTGTCGCGCATGAGGAATTCGGAATGAACGAATGGTCGTCGAGACACATCCGAAGGAAGGCCGGCGGTTGATACCCAGTACGCCCCGGACGACACAACCTCGATCGTGAGTGGTGTGGTAACGCAAAGAAAGCGACTATGATTACAGGCCCGAGGGCGAAAATAATGCTGGGGAAGAAAAAAAACGTACAAGCGCGTTTTTGGGCTTGCTCCAAGAAGTTTGCCAAGGGGAGACAGGTGCGCGATAATACACGTATCCAATATACAAAGTCCAACGAAAAACCTAGACGCGCAGCATCCGGAGGCTTAGAACCCATGTCCTGCCATCATCTCGTCGAACCCGAGGAGGCTGTCGAGGTTCTGGCTCTCATCAGGGTATTGGCTTCCCTCGAGGGCTTGAGTGAACGCTTGCCCAAACTCGATTCCGCAGGGAGCGCCGAGGTCATCTTGGTACTTCGGTACACCGATTTCGATGGGGGGGATGGCGCTCAAATCGAAGTCGTCCCCAAGAAGCATCTCAGAGCCCGTGGACCAGAGCGATCCGTTGGTCTCCCATGAGTACGCCGCGTACTCAGATTGCATCTGCATCTCCAGTTGCAGATCGAGCTCAATTTGACTAGGCTCGGATCCGCAGTATGGTTGAGGGAGAAGCGCGGACGTGGGGGTGAAAGGACCGGAATTGGGCGAGGAAGGACCTGAGGATGATATGGAGCCTCTGGACGAGGAGGGAGAAATGAGATGAGACGGGAGAAGGATCGAATCGTGCGGCGGCATGGTGAGCGCGTGTAGTTGAGTTGGGTCGCTCCTTTGAACAGGTTGGCCACTAATGCTGAACATACTTCTTAGGAACTCGGACGACTGTGGAGTCAAAACGTCAGTCTGGATCGCTGTTGCTGTGAAGTGCGGATAACGTTACCTGAAGGCTAGCTTCAAATTGTCCAACCTGACCGAACGATTGCGGTAGGTAGCTGTTAGTCGGCATGTAGTCGAAATCTGACACTGCTTCCTCATGACCAGGATGCGCTGATCGACGACTGATCATGGGGAGAAGGGAGGGCGAGGTTGGGCAAGAAGGCGTCATGTGGTAGATATTGGGGATCTGAATCGACTGGTAAGGAGGCGGGGTCGGCGCTGACGCGGAACGACCATGATGACGAGCTAGCATCGGGAGCACAAAAGAAAGGCTCTCGGATTCCTCATGACGACCCTTGGCCTTCTTGTTCTTCGTCCGGCCATCCTTGTCCTTGGCGCGCTGTGGACGATAGACGTAGTTGGGGTACATCTGCTCGTGCTCCTTCTTCTTCTCCTTCGCCAAACCTTCCCAGTACTGCCGCTCCTCGGCAGTCAAGCTCTTCCACTGCTGGCTGATCGTCTTTGAAAGATCAGCCTGCCGTTGCTTCTTCGCGGGCCCATCTGCTGCGGTCGCGGCCTCCTCCTGCGCTTGTTGGCGATCCTCGCAACATTTGCGTCGGAAGAGGATGAAGGCGTTCTCTGGACGTTTGATGTAGTCCTCGTCCCCCTTCTTGGGTCGCCTGTCGATGGCGTCGGTGCTGCACGACGATTTCCGTTTATGTGTGGACGGTGAAGGTGATGCGGATCTCGGGGAATCGGGGGAAAGGGTGCGCATGAAATGTCGTGGTGGTGGTGTTGTACATTGTGAAGGGAGTGGATAATGATCAGGCTCGAAAGGGGAATTAGAAGGGGAAGAGTAAGGACTGTCAGAAAGGTTATGGGAGATAGGGAAGGTGAAAGCGCGTGGCGTCGGGGAGATGATGGCAAGAGTTGGTGCTTGTTGTGGTGCGTCCGTCGTCACTTCTAGTGCTGAAAGGGAATGAGCAGGGGAAGAAAGAAAGAAAGACAGGTGCTCACATCGGGATTGGGTATCGCGAGTGCGTAGAGCAGGCATGATTGTTCGTCGGGGACAATGGGAAGATGACAATGGGGGAGTGTTCGTGAGAGGCGGGAGGAGGAGAATAATGACGGATTGGTCGTACGCACAAGGAGGGAGGAAAGAATAAAGGGTGTCGCAACGCGGATGGCAATCGTTTTGTTTGTCTCTCAGTGCGACCAGAGAACAATTGCACGGCGGGGCACAAAAAAGCAAAACAATACGACCGGACAGTTTTATAGTTCTCTAGTTTGGACTGGATACCAGGAAAGGTTCCGCCGAAGACACGAGTCCGAATTTCGTAAGGTTCGCCTCTATTCAGCTCAGTTCCACATTCATTGTCTGCGCCATTTAGGGACCAGAGAGGAACGAGATGCCGCTCTCCCGATATGGAAGGCATATCCATTTGCACATGTTTGTATCACCAATGAAGAGACGCGTCCACCCTGTTATTGTCCCGGCCATTTGGTCCGAGCGAACCATTGCGTCCGATTGTCCAATATTCCTTCTTATCGGTGAGCCCACGTAAGATCATCCCTCATGAGAGCGCCGCGGCATCCAAAAAAATAACATGACTCGTCAATCTGCCATTCCAGCCCGAAATCCCTCGTTACATCCAAGCTCTAGGTTACCTTTGCCTCCGTCGCTCATAGTCATACCCTCTCAGGCAATATATACCCCAAAATTCAACTGTAAATGAATTCGATCTTCTCTGCTGCGTGATATGGTCTAATGATATCTTGATAAAAATATCCACGTGCACAAATCCCAGTCGCCCAAATGATCCAAAATGTCCTAGCGCCTTCACAATTCCAGATGCGGAAGTTGAGAGCCGTCCGCTCGTCTCAACCACAAGGTTTCCCCCATCTGCAGAAGACGAGCTCACGTAAGCTTCTCATCACCCGATCGTGCATCTCGTACAATTCATTCACGATTCCTTCAAACTGCGTCAGACCTTCTCTTCCATTATATCGTCCTGCAATGCGATACCCAACTAATTATCAGATGAATTTTACTGGCTTATCTGTGCTAGGGCCGTGGTCTATGCTCCGTTCCACGGCTGTCTGGTCAACTCGGGGCTGTAAGAGAAAATCCCGTATCCTGTGATACAAGACGTCACTTTTCGATCTCTCGGTTACTTTCTTTACTGCCTAAACAGGTCGGAATTCGCCGGCCCATCAATATCAGTTAATATTTTGCTTTGCCCCATAACCCATGTCCTCATGCCCCTTCGTCGTCCTACACATTTCCGCGCCGAATTTAATCTGTAATAACCGCCCATGAAAGCCGAGCTCCATCAGTACATTCTAGGCGTCGACCGTCGCTTCGTAACTGATATAAAATTGTAATTTCATTGGAAAAGAACGGATGCAATTTTGAAACGGAATCAAGTGGTTCTGTAAATCGTCACAAAATCACAATTTCAAGATCATTGATCCAAGACCCAAGAGGTACTTATGATAAGATCGGGAGGGGATGATCGATTTAGAATTAGGATTCACCATTGTATGCTGAAATAGGAAGGACCATGCGTCGTATATCATATTTACTTCTGGGATTTAAGAACTGTAATGGCGGTATATGAATGGGTTCGAGTTTAGCTCCCAGCGTCAATACGAGAGATTGCATCGCTTTCAAAATAAGCGGACACTGTGGGTGCGGGAATTTGAGCGTCGAGTCAGTACGAGTCATGGTAGGAAGATATCGCGAGAGCGGTCCCCCGAGTCATCGTCGGGCTGCGCTTCTCGTACCCAATAGGGTAGACATACCGACAGGGCGGCAGTATACTCATTGTACGCGGTCAAAGCGTATATTCGATCGCGTCGTGATGTAAGTGATCAGGGGGCACAAAGGACACAGGGGTCCATGATCGCACGGCCAAGGTTTGCGCCATCGAAAGGAAGCAAAAAAATATTCACTAGTGAGAAGATTACGTTAAGGACAATGTAGATGAGTAAATGAGCGAGAGACATCTACGCCCAAACCACGGATGGATTGGAAATAGTTTGGAACGCCACGACGGATTTCATGAGGAATGGCGACGCGCTCGCGTCCTATGCACTTCACTTCTAAGAGACAATGGTAAATACGAACATCGACCGGGAATATCATAGGCGTACTCGCAACTGACGGGGTGACCATAATGAGTGATTGCTTCTTTGTGATTGGGAGCGCGAAGGTTGATCGGACGCGCAAAAGATTCGGTACTTATTGGCATCATTCGAGTCAGGTAGCGGTAGGAAAAATGGTGGGTAAATACTCACGCACGCAATGCGGGAATGCGTCAAGGCTTGACGCGCTGACGTTCAAAATCCAGAATGCGTACGCCCCTGTGTCGCCTGTTTTAAAAACGGCGGAGAGAGATGAAAGACATGGGACTAGAAACACTAGTAAGGATAAGCGCATTGACCTCGAAGCATCCCGACATTTTACGATCGCTTGTCATGAGCTCCACTCTGCCCAAATGAGCGAACAATGCAAAAGTGAGTAATCAAGCGGCTTTGGTGCGCCTATGATTTGACTTCGATATTAGCTGGTCGAGAACGCGTAGAAATGATTGCAGGGCCGAAGGATTCAATAATAACGGGTGATGATTGACATAGTACGATAAATGAGCGCAGCGTGTCGACGCGCGCTTTCAAATAGCCATAGTCAGAGTCAGAGGGGTGAAGCTACGCCGCAATATCCCATGGATCAAAGCAAAAGCAGGTGCGTGGTTCACCTTACTCTCACGAAGATGGTATGGTAGTTTGATTACCATTTGCGACGCGATGACTAGGCTGACGCCACTATCACGATCCACAAACATCACTTTCATTTTGTGCGTATACTTACTTCCCGACGCTGGACGCTGGACGCGTACAAATCCTAGGTTTAAGGTCGGTATTCTGAAAAATGTCCTTAGGTAAAACGAGGTGCGGAAATGAATGAACAGCCACCTTTAAAATCGGAAGTAACCGACATCCTACGCGCGTAATTGAGAATATTTCGCTTGACGCGTACGACCCCATTGTATTAATGAAGTCCTTCCACCTGTCAGGATTCCGGTACGATATCTCAGGGTATACATTCGTCATTGATAAGTTCCGTCGGGGAAGGCGGGGAGCGGATCAACATGGTCCGATGGGCATTCTGGTCTCCATGCATTATTCCTCTCAACCACGGACCTTAAAGCAATAAGTATTATTCCAGATCATATTATCCTGGTCACTGGACGACGAGGATTATCGACCGTTCGGGATTTATTGCGGGTCTGGGCATCGGCCACCGCGGTGTACTATCTTAGACTTAACTGATGTAAAGAGGTTGATTTCCGCAATAGTAACACTCACATCGACTTGTTGAATCATTCGTCATTTGTGGACACTTGCAAACCACTAAATTATCGATTGCCCTGGTTCAAGTTGAGGTTCGAAACAGTCCTTTCAAGAAGTGGCCAGAAATCAGTGAAATTGGATCAATACTATCATGCATGCGAGCTTGTGATATACCCACCCCCGCACTCACCATGACTCGACTTGACGGCGAGAATGGGAAAGTCAGAGCCTCGAGGCAGTTCAAAGAGCGTTGCCAAGGAGGCAGTAACTGGTATCGTGACAGCTCGCGTGCAACAACGGTGTGATCTTCCACGTTTCGTCACGCTGGCGTCATCATCGCTTTTCGCTCGCATTCCTTGCAAAGATTCCTTGTGCCCGCAGCGATTTCGTCTCACACTTTCGCCCAGTCATTTTCCCTGAATTTAGAGGAACACACACCTATGTCCCTACGAAAGAGACCTCGTAGCCCCTCTCTTTCCACCACTTTGGCTCCGACATTGAGCACGCCGCTGGCACACACGGTGGCATCGCCATCCCAGTCTTCCAAAGTATCGAAGAAACTGAAGCTCCACAGTTCTTTTGTTGATACCTCTCCATTCCAAACGTTCGCACACCCAACACCTGCTGAAGCACGCGAAGTTCACGAGCTTCTCCTAACAGCCCACCGTCCACACGAGCCGATCCGTAGGCGTCCTCTAAATTCCAACAACTCAGCAGGTACTTGCGGAAATGTACCAAACGTGATCGAGGCCCTCATTGGTACTATCCTTTCACAAAACACGTCCGGACAGAATTGTCATCGTGCCAAAACAAGTCTTGACGCTGTTTTTGGGAGAAACAATTTTGTAGCTATCGCTCAAGCTCCGAGGGAACGTTTGGTCGACGCTATACGATCCGGGGGCCTTGCGAATAAAAAAGCTGCCACCATTCAGAATCTTTTACACTCTATCCGGGGCAAGCATGGCGAGTACTCGTTGCAGCATCTCGCTGCCGCGGAAAGCAGCGGTCGGCGGATGTCCGACGATGAAATTATGAAAGAACTCATCTCCTATGACGGGGTGGGTCCAAAGACCGCTTCGTGCGTTCTGTTGTTCTGCCTCGGACGGAACTCTTTCGCTGTGGATACCCATGTGTTCCGATTGAGCAAGCTCCTTGGGTGGGTCCCTCAAAAGTCAGATCGTGTACTTGCACAGGCACACCTCGACATTCGCGTCCCAGACGAGCTCAAATACGATTTGCATGTGTTGATGATACAGCATGGACGATTATGCAAAGGTTGTAAGAAGACGGGATCGGGTCAGGCTTGTATTCTCAAAACATATTTGAAAGGGAAAGAAGTAGACGCAGACTCGACACATGAGGATTGATGATTCTCGCTTTTTTTGATGCTTCTTACTGTTATTTTTCAACTCTCTTTGTATTTTTTGTTGCACCTCCTCGCCTCAAGACTCTATTCTGGCTCTCTCGGGTCATCTGTGCTTGGTCGGCCCTCCCCGCCTCAACACAAACAAACAACCCCGGATTTGATGGTATCTAATCAGTCCCCGGTATCACATCTCGATCTCCAGGAACCATATGCAGATCCCAATGGAGCGCTAATGAATAGATCTCAGAATCGCCCACTCTTCACAGAAGAGGAATATCGAGTATTAATTTGAATGGTTGACCCACATCTTCACAGCAAAACTTTCCAGCAACGCTAATCTACTGTGGTAAGTGTCAATTTTCTATGTAATTTCAAGCCAGAACTAATCGATGGGTGCTTACATAGCATGGGAATCAGCGAATCACAATCTTGAACAGGCGAACCAGAGAGGCCACATGATGTTGTTTTGCCGAACACTGTTGCACGTGTAACGGCGTTCGGGCTTAGGGTTCAACACACCATCCAGTTATTCCATTTTCTATCTTCGTCGAACGTCTGCTGGGCCAGAAGTCAGCGCAATAATCTACATACGCTTCTCTTCTACAATCGAAATCCCATTGCCATGTCATTAGTCGGGCGCCTGCGCTAGACGTGACAACACGTGTACCGATGGTCGGGAAGGTTTGTGGGTGTTGTTCAGATACCCCTCAAGGATGATTCTTTTGTTCTTTGACCTTTTCTGATATCGCTAGGTTGTGGGCTCCTCGGCGAATCCATTATTCTGTGTGCTCTGGTTCAAACCCAATCCATATTGCGGCATACCCCCCGAGCATCACGAAACGTGCCTTCTTTATCAAATATTTGGTCTTGGGAACACTGTCGGCAGTGCGCCACTCCGCTACCATTCGGTTTCCGGGTTCACCCGCACAGTACCTCCCTTCTAGACCATCGAGAGTTACAAATGTGTTCATTTTGCCTCTTTCAGGTGTGCGCAGATATTGGCAAAGGCGTCGAATCCTAGATCAGTAGAAGATTCTCAATGCGCAAGCTCACAAGCGATTTACAAACGGTCAGCCACGATTTTGCATGCGCAGCCTCCTTTCGTGGTTCAACTAACTTGAAGCAGCTCGCCCTCGCGCGACTCACAAATGCTCGGCTGTGATTTCCGGAATCCTTTCCTGTTAAATTAGCAGGTTAAGGAGGTGCAGGTCTTTGTAAGCTCGGATTTCGGTCCTACGGTAAATTTGGTACTCTCATGATACTTTATTCAGGGTGATCATAGGTGATTTAACTCAGACTTGCAGCCGCCAGTGGCGTTTCCACAACTCCAGCGATTTTAGACACAAAACGATATTTTTCCGACGCGTCGGGGATTTTTACTCTTTATGCTGTGATCAAAGTGGGCGGTGCCCCCTCGCGAGTCGGAATCTCGCTTCAAGTCCCCCTCTCCTCCTACCCTGCAGTGGAACACCCTTAAGCCCAAGTCCAGAACGGCTCGCAAACCCCATTTTTGACACAGTTGCCACACAATCACATCGATAACCTGATCTACGTTTACGATGAAGTTTTCGATGTTTCCTGAGTTCTCATGCATGCCGGATCGCCAGCGCTTTCATCATGCCGTATTTCCATCCGGTGTTTTGTTTTTGCTAGTGAGCGAAAGCTAATTTTACTCTTATAATCCACGGGTTTACTGATATGTCTTCATTGCGACGTCTTATCCAAGTCACGGGCGCCCAGTCGTTCCCTCCAACCCCGTCGATCGAGCCGGTAGATATTAACCGTTGCCACGCACGCTACCAGACCATACTGTCTGTTTGACCTTGACTTTCCCCCAGCTTCGTCCGATCCCACAGCCCTGGCAGTTGTAACCTTTCGACCGGCGTCTAATTGTTAATTGTCTAACACCGTCATGGACACCAAAGTAGAGACCGACTCGGACGCGGAGTGATAAATTCACCTACCGTCTACGCACATGGATAAATGATCGATCGTTGACGGGGGAGGCTATGGGCAGAGTTTGCGATCCATGAGGCGGCCTCATGGTAGTTGCCGTTGTAAAGTTTGGCAGGTGAGCGCTTGAGCGTTCATTATTTTACACAGAATAACACTCTAAATAGATTCAAATTCACTCGACACGGCCTTCAGTCGTAAATTTATTTAATCTATTGATTAGATATTGTAATTTGTTTCCCCTCGGCCGTAATTCGTGTTTGTAGGATATCTGTCACCTCGTCGTCTTACAATCGTGTTTCAGGTTGGCGGAAGATCCACACACCCCGTTCAGCTTCGGTCTTGACGTTGACACCAGCGCCGATCCTGTATCGCCCAACCTGAACCATGACAGTAAACACATAACGACGGGCGTCTATAATTGATTGTCTTCCAGCGTCAAAAAACGGCAAAATCAACCGCTGAATTTGTTGAAGAGACCGACTCATATCTGAACGCGTATATTTACCCTACTGTAGTATACGGCGAGGCTGTGGGTGGTAGCTACATAAGTTTGCGATCGTGTAACGGGCTCATGCTACTTTTTGGGCGAACATCACAATCTGTAGAGACCTGTCGAAAAACCTTACAGCATCTTTCCTTTGCTTGACCCTCCGAGACAATGCTTATTCACGATGGTGACTCCATTAACTCGGGGCTAAAATCTCGGACTCCCTCAATAAGTGCCATTTTTCCCAGATTAAAAGCTCCGCTAATATCCTCCTTCGGCAGTTTTAGGTTGTATAAACAACTCGCTATCCACGAACATGCCATCAACTGCGACGGGGGAGACTATTGTTTTGACCCCTTTAACCTGGAAATAGGGTTGTTTGTGATTTGGGGATTGTTTTTTTCCGTTCTTACAAGTGTGTTTAAGAGAATTCGACCACGGTTCTAGTATTCGGACTCGTCATCCGAGGAGGCGCATTCACCTGCAAGCCAAAATAGCAGGAAAAAATTGGAACCAACAATATCCTTGAGGGTGGCAAATGTAATCTCCGATTTGCTATCAGCTAGCGCCGTTCGGAGGACGTTTAGATCCACCCAGAAGCACCCGCAAGTTTCAATGCGAACCGTTTTTAGCCTTACGCAAGTGGTAGAAACTCCGGAAAATCTGTAGACCAACATTTTCTGAAGACCTTCAACGGGCATGAAACACATATCGGAGGTAATTGTAAACGTTTCGAGCAGAGGCAAATGATCGCCACTTGATTCTTTCGGTGCAGCGGGGCCTAGGGAATCCACAAGCGCTTTGCAGCTCTGCTCGCCACCTATGAAATGTAATGCTAAGAGTGATTCAACTCTCAAAATGCAACTGATTGTCCATGTGCAGTCTTTCGGCGATGCTTAATAACAAGTAATGTGTAGTCGCTGGAGACTCCTCGACAAGTTCGACATGAAGTCGGGCATGGATGGAATCGGTGTATTATCGCAATCGTATAATTCGATGGTCATTTCTTTGATTGAGGGAGTAATGATTTTTGATAGGAGTTTGTTCAGACCTGTGTTGTAATTTGTGATTCCATCCTTCAACACCAGGTTTCGCAGGGTAGGGAGAATCAAAGTGTGACGTTCTTCTGTGTTCGAATACTCGTCAGACACAAATCGTTGTGCAACAAACTCTTGTAGGGAGTTTGAAGTACAACGGAGAATGTGATATGCCTGATCGTCGTAGATATAGCCCACATGTTATGCACCACTGACAAATGTTACAGCACAGCATGTTCACCACGAGTTTTCGGCCTTCCAAGTTCAACCTTTCCATATTGACCTTGGTAGCAGATTGTGGCATATATTTACGTCTTCCTCCACGCGCAAACGCCTCTCCCGGAGTTCCGACGAATGGCCTGATCTTGAAATAATCAACTTCCCTTGTATTCCCTTCAACCTGGTTGTTCGTGATTTGGTGTTTTTTTTTCTAGTTCTTGTAAATGTGTTCAAGAGAATTCGACGACGGTTCTATTCAGGCTTGTCATCCGAAGAAGCGCAATCACCTGTAAGTTAGATTAGCTCGATTAAAAATAGCAGGAAAAAATTGGAACCAACAATACTGATCCTTGAGGGTGGCAAATGTAATCTCCGATTTGCTATCAGCTAGTGCCGTTCGGAGGACGTTTATATCCTCCCAGAAGCATCCGCAAGTTTCAATGCGAACCGTTTTTAGCCTTACGCAAGTGGTAGAAACTCCGGAAAATCTGTAGACCAACATTTTCTGAAGACCTTCAATGGGCAGAACGCCCATATCGACGGTAATTGTAAACGTTTCGAGCAGAGGCAGATGATCGCCACTTGATTCTTTCGGTGCAGCGGGGCCTAAGCAGTCCACAAGCGCTTCGCGGCTCTGCTCGTCACCTGTGAAATGTAATTCCAAGAGTGAGTCAACTTTCAAAATGCAACTGATCAACCATCTGCAGTCTGCCAGCGAGTTCAATCCAAGACAAGTAATGTGTAGTCGCTGGAGGCTCCTTGAAAAGTCCGACATGAAGTCGGGCAGGGATGGAATCAATGTATGATCGTTGCATAATTCAATAGTCAGTTCTTTGATTGAGGGGGTAATGATTTTTAATAGCAGCTTGTTCAGACCTGCGAAATTGTAATCGAGTGCACGCTTCAACACCAGGCGTCGCAGGATAGGCAGAATCAAAGGGCGATTTTCTCTCCTGTCCATATTGTCAGCCATGAGATGCTGTGCAACAAATTCTTGCAGGGAGTTTGAAGTAAAATTGAGGATGTGATAGGCCTGATCATCGTAGATGTAATCCATAGACAACGTCGTAAGCGATCGTAAGGCGGAGGGCCATATATCAAAGGATTTTACATATTGTGGCAGGTAGAGACGCTTGATTTGCGGCATAGTCGAAGATCGGAGTATATTGAGGCTTTCTCCGAAGTTCCATTCGCGCCCGGAGACAAGATCAGGTGTTATGAGAGAAAGTTGCTCCAGGATGGGAAAACAGCTGACCAAATTTACGAAATAACAGAGGAATCCTTGGGGGAGGCGTAGTGAGACGTTTTTCCATCTTGACGCTGTGCCGATGAAGGTAGACGTGTAGAATACGTGACCGCAACATATGTCCAGATTTGGTGCGTCGATGTGGATTGAGAGAGGGCGGCTTTTACACCGTGAAATCCACGAACCCAGGATATCTTGAAGATCGAATGTCAAAGTGTCTCTTCGGCTTACAAAAACTATAGAAGACCAGAGTTGGCTCGAAGACCAGGCAAGATCGCGCCACGCCTTGCAAACTGCACCAAGGCGCAGAGGCCACATTTCCTGCTCGCCTAACCCCTCCCTGGTAGCATCGTACTCGGGGTGACATGCAAGAATGAAGATCTCTGTTATAAGCTCTGGCGGCAGAGTCCATATGGAGGTGCACTCGTTGATAGAAGTTTTTGCTGCGAAGATCGTCTGTCTCAGCCGGATGATTTCTCTCTCCGCGTCAACGACAAATTGTTCTAAACCAATTCGTGTGTCCTTGCGATTGGAAGAGTTGAGGGGAGTTTGAATGGCTTGATGGAGTTCGGGCGGCATATTGAAAAACGTCGGCTGCAGATGGTGCTCAGCTTCTGGCAAGATTTTTGAGTGTCTGAGCTTGAGTTGAGCCGTGACTGAGACTCCTAACTCTATGCTGGCGTATATAATACTATATTTGGTTGAGCATTCGTTGTGTACCACTGCCAAATGTTACAGCACAGCATGTTTACCACAAAACTTTCCTGCTTTCCAAAGTTGAACCGAAGTATATCGGCCTACCTCTTCTGTTTCTCTGCACGAAACGGGAGGTCGAAAGTAATCCTCGCTACTTTGCCCCGAGGAAACTCCGCATTGACACAGCCCGGATCTCATTCCTGGCACCTCCCTTTCAGGGTAAGTTCAACGTCGGGAATCGCGCGTAACCCCACGGAACTGGCTATCTTTACCTTTCAGTCCCATCGCAGTTGCTTCGTTCCGTACCAGGTCATTTTACTTTACTGAACACCGCATCTTTTGCTCATCGTGGCTTTAGCTCCTTGGAGACCAACCAAGAACCCATTGGGCGGAGTACATAAATGGAGCTCCCTTTGTCCTCGTCGCGTGAGTCGTCGATAACAATTGGCGAATTGTAATTTTGATTCTTTCATATAGTAGTTTGTCCGATGTGAAAGAAGTCGGGTGCATTTCCCGTACATGCGCATCTCCAAGCCGGGCAGTGAGGATGAAGTAGAATCCGTACGTCGGACCGATACGGTATGTGAAGCTGCAAATGATTTTGTTCCACGTTGTAAGCTTATGACTCGTAGGCCTCGTTGCTCCCAGAGATCTTCTTGCTATATGTATCTCAAAGTCGGGTGAGGATGAAGTAGAATCCGTACGTCGGAGCGAACGGTATGTGAAGCTGCAACGATTTTGTTCCACATTGTAAACTTAATGACGTAGCTCGTCGCCCTCTTGCTACACGCACAAATGATGAAATTGTAAGTACTCCCAAATCGCGCGATTTCTGAAGTCAATTGAAAACTGGCTTCACTAGTTCTTATCTATCCAGTTGGCGTCGACATCGCGTCGCAGTTTAAGGCTCAAAACGAATGTAAAGTCCGTCTCTTCCCCGCCGCCAAAATGGCGGCACGCACGCACCTTCTTGCGCGTCCAGCATGTTCACACAATACAAGAGCCCCCATCGGCTCTTTACGACATGCTCCGCCCAGCCTCAACTTTGAACTGGCGAAAGAACTTGAACAATTCAAAGAGGAAACTTGAATGTCCCCAAGGTGGACGAGGGGTTTGCTTCCATTCTCTCTGAGCGGATTGCTCAGAACTCCCTCCAGGAAAGGCGGTTTTTCGTGGCGGGAAGGAACAGATTTAATGAAGACCTGGTATGAAACATCCTAATCTGTAAGTCCCTTTGTCACGGTTGACTTTGCGATACGAGACGAATTGCGAGATGAAAAAACGATCTTTTACAGGAGCTTCGTTTTATTTGAAAAACCTGGGTGCCAATTGTTGGATAGATTATAAAAGTCCGTCTCTTCCCCGCCGCCATTTTGGTGGCACGCACGCACCTTCTTGCGCGTGCAGACTTTGAACTCGACGGTTGGGCCGGCGGAAGAACTTATTTAAGAGGAAACTTGAATGTCCCCAAGGTAGACGAGGTGTTTGCTTCCATTCTCCCTTGGCGGATTACTCAAAACTCCCTCCAGAGAAGGCGGTTATTTGTGGCGGGCCCGGGAAGGAACGGATTTAATGAACGCCAGGCTGCCAGTTGTATGAAACGTCTTAATCTGTAAGTCCCTTTATTGACTTTGCGATACGAGACGAATTGCGAGATGAAAAACGATTTTTAATAGGGGCTTCGTTTTGTTTGAAGAACCTGGGTGCCAATTGTTGTATAAATTGTACGCATGATGTGATTATCTGTAAGTCGGTCCGAACGTTCTGTTGGTACTGGACTGATGATATATATATATACTCTCCGCGATATTATTCAGTCTTCGAGCGTGATAAATACGCGGTTCCTGTTGAATCGACTAAATCTGGCACTCCTTAGTACCCATATGTATCCAATTGGTCGACGTCGCTCCGTGGGGTTCGAAAGGTCAAAACAATGTTCACGACAGGACAAATCATGTCTCGACTCCTCGCAGTCAAATGGAATTATAATTTACAGCTATTAGAAGATATTCATCATGATCCGATATTCCAAAGAAAAATGCTAGGGGACAAGTACGGTAACTACTAGTATACTGTGCGCATCAGTACGGATGACCGATTCATTCATACTCGGTTTTCCTCACCTTCCTGGCCGGTGCCAATATCGCGCTTGGGTTCCGTAGCTTCTTGAATGCCGATGAAGAATATCGATTCCAATGCCAGACAGCCCTAAAGTTCATCTGAGTGAGTTTTTTGGCACGTTCTATCGTTTGTTAAATTTATTTGGACTGAGCACAGGGAACGACCTGGGTGTAAAAGGATGAAGGATTTTAGTGTAGGTTCGCTGCGCCCACCACAACGGTCCCCTCAATCGTAAGGCGAAAGCATCGAAACTTGCCCTTTTTTTTTTTTCTTCCAAAGAGGAAAGCTGAACTGACTCACGTACGTCGGCGTTGACTCACCGTCCGCTCTTCAAACATCCGCCCGATGTTGTGATAACCGGGCGCCCTACATAAATCTGCATTTCACGAAGTGCTTGCCGGCGTACATAGGGTCGACGGACATCTGTATCAGTGACGCTAGCATGCTCCTTCCGACCCCGAGGGTCCAGGTGGCGGACTGTGGCGGAAAGGAATTAAGCAATTTAATGGGGAAAGTTGAACGTCGACCGGGGAAGGTTGACTCACACTGCCCGTCCTCTTTAACCAGGTGACCTTTTGGGATCAATCTACTCAGAAACCCCCTTTCCGGCAGAAACCCTAGGATTTCTCGTTGTCGGGTAGAACCCCCCCATCATCAACCCAAAGAAGTATTTATAGAAACCCTATGTCGGAGATGAATTAAGCAGTGCTGGACAAGTCGGTCTTTGAATTTTACATGTGACATAATCATCCGAAACGATGTCAAATGAGGAGAGAAATGGAAAATAGGGAGATGCAAACCTTGGACCATTCGGGCTCTTAATGGAGAGATCTAGTCACTCAATTGAAACTGGAATTGCGAGGGAATTCAAAAGTTCTTACCATAGTTGAGGCGCGGGAATGGGCTGTCTGAATGCCCAAACGGAATGTTGGAGGGCCACTGCCGAGCCTCGAGGGAAGTCGGACCTCAAATATTTTGACCATCGGCCATCAGTGATTGCTTGTGGTACCCCAGGTTTCTGAAGTGGTTGGATAGAAACCTTGGGGTTTCACGTGGAAAGGGGGGTTTCTGGATAGTTTAATCCGACCTTTTGGGCATGGGGATAGGTGTAGGCCCCGGAAAGGCAAGCGACGTCTTGAATGAAAGAACGGATAATCTGGTCCGATGCGCCGTTGATAAGACGACTTTCTCCGGGCATCCGACGCGTAGTTGATTAGATTAGATTAGACGACGACTACGAAAAAATCTCATACTGTGAGAGGGAGCGTTTCATCCATGGTTGGCTGTGAAAAGCATGATTACGGGAACGTGTGCAACGCGTGGCCGGCGGGGTGTGTGGGGAATTCGAAGTTTAGGGTTGGTGGCCTTGGATTAGGTAACTCAATTGCTGTTTGACCGCAACCACTTTCATCGTCTTCAAACGACTCTCAGAAAACTCGAAAGTTGCGCTAGTCTTGCTAACTATCGTATATCTGACTTACTAACGAGTAAGCCACCTTGGCGATCCTTCTTTTCGTAACTAACTACAAAGCCACCTAGAAAAATGACACTCACCCCACACATCTGGGCCAACCTCCCACTCGAACTCATCCGCGAAATCCTCCTCCACATCGCCTCTTCCCTTCCCCATCAAGCCCATTCCCTCCGACTAATCTCCTCAGACGTCAACATCCTCCTCCTCCGCTTCCTCTTCCGCCACCTCTCCTTCACGCTCCCAGAACACATCTTCCGCTTCACCACCATCGTCCTCCCAAAGCGCCGTCACTACATCCCAGCCCTAAAATCTAAACTACACACATCCCCAAGACCACTCTCATCATACAACGTCGATTCCCTCGTCTTGGTCGTAGACGACCGACGTCCATCCATGGAAACGGCGCTAGCCAGCGTCGGGCCTGTATTTGGCGGATTAACAAAGTTGGCGATAACGGGGCAGAGTTTATCTGCAAACGCGTATTGGTTACGCCAGCACCCCATTTACCCAAGGTTCATGATGATAGTGCATCATGGATCGCCACACCTTGTTAATTTTCATGAACCGGTTTTGAAGGGCGTCACGCACCTTTATACCTCCATCACGCATGGCCATCGCTTTTCGAGCGTTGCGGACGTTCCGGGGCTTACGCACCTTGCCGTTCACGCCCGCGTGGGGTTGTCGGCGGATACGGCGGCAAAGGTTGCGTATTCCCTACAAACGATCTTGAATACCTGTCCAAAGCTGGAATGTCTCGTTCTCAGTCTAAACGCAGATTCTCTGCGTGATCCACATCTAGAAATGTGGGACTACGTCCTGGAAAAATGTCTCGCGGACACGAGGTTCATCCTCCTGCCGTACTACCGACTCCCGCGTGTTGAATGGGGTGATATTGTTAAGGGTGAGGGGAGTATTTGGGCAAGGGCGAAGGAGTGGGTTAAGATGGAGAGGGAGGAGGTTAGGGAGATGACGATGGTTGCTGTTGAGCGGGAGAAGAGTTTGGTTCCGTGTTTGAAGCACCCTAAAGAGGGCGAGTGGGAGATTGATTTGGTGCAGAGGGATGATTATTGGCCCAGGGATGAGAACCCGGATGCGGTGGGGGAGATGGAGTGGTTGGCTAGGGCGAGGTGATGGGATTACGGACATCAGGGAGATGAGCTCAAGTGTTGTTTTTTCTTCGTGTTCGTCCCTTTTCGTTCTCATTAGGAAATCAGACTGATTCGTGTTTAGATCGTTCATTGAGGGACCAAGTTTCAAGTCCACCTATGCTTCATGGGACACAACTTCTTCGTCTGCACTATGCACACCTCTCTGCTCTCGGATACGCTTCGTCCAGTCCGGACTTCTTACACCCTCCTGGTTATTTTCCTTTGAAAATGTCTTCCTGGCGACGTCGAAATCTACACGACTCGTGGCAGGTGTAGCAATGTCGGTCCTCAACTTTGATCGACTCTCCACCCCTTCAACCCCTTCTTCTTCGCACACAGATCCTGCGCGCTCCGCCATGACAGTGGAAACTCCAATTTCTGTATGACTACGAAGGTCGTTTCCAGACCTAAACCATGTTTGGGTTCCAATCGTTCCAATGCTCCCTTTCGTCTTCATCTTCGTCCTACCTTCCCTTTCCTTCAAACTCAACTTGAACGGAGGAGTCAAGTGATGCGGTTGTTCATTCTCTTTGCGACAGCGAAGAACCGTGTGGCTCTGCCTTTATCTAGGGTCGATTTGGATAGACCCCTGCATTCCAGGATCGACTCTTTTCTACTTCCAATCTCCCAGGTCGTCTTGGCCAGGCTGGAGCAGCAACCGTCGTTGTCATGCGCACATCGAGCTTTAGCTTCAGAGATGGAGTGGTTGGCTAGGGCGAGGTGATGGGATGGGATGTTGGATATCGGGAGAGGGAGGGAATGAGCTGGCGTTGGAGGCGGGTGCGTGTTTCTTAGTTCCTACATCTTCATTCCCCCTTCCTGAATCGTCAATAGCCCCACCAACCGCCGCTCTCCCACCCCCCAAACCCAATGGATTTGACGCAGCCGCCCACATTCTCTCCCTTGCCTTCGACGCCAAAGCCTTAGCGAAAGCAGGCTGGACTCCAGACGCGCATTTACCTATCCTCCCTGAAGAGAAGGTGTTCGTCGTCAGTTGGGTGGCTGGAAGCAGGCGTTGGCGAGGTCGTCGGATCATGTTTGACATTGGTGGATTGGCGGTGAACGAGCGTAGTAGTCCATATCACACCTTGCGTACAACGTTCAGGACTGTAATAGTATTCGTTGAATAGACAAGATTTTGTGATGTTGAAGACGCACATCAATGTTATCTATTTACTTCCATCCACAACGTCGTCAAAGCACACAACGACGAACTTGCGCTCTATTTCAACGACCACTTAACGCCAACTAGCTCAACATTCGACATGGACACGGGAATGCGCCCAGCAACAACCAGGTTCGGAAGTTTCACGCAATGTGAGTACATACCACGTTATCTTTCCCGCAAGTTTTCTGCTAACAAAGGTACATAGATTTTGTGCTACTGCCTACTACACACCGAAACGACACGCGAGAACACGAGCTGGCAAGGCAACGGTAACGCGAAACCGAAAACCCAACATGCACGTCTAACGCGTTAACACTACCGGAAGGATGCAGTAGTGGAGGGAATGGATGGATAACCCTACGGAGAGGCGGCCTTTCGCATTTACGAGCTGGGATAGGGTCGTGAGCGGTGGGATAAGGTCATTAAAAGTGAGTACTTATGTTGCTTCGTTCACCTTGCACAAGACTGATGCCTTTGATCGTCTTCAAGCTCCTTGTCGACGTGTTGACAGTTTCTCGCAATGTGAGTATGACACCACCTTTTACACGAGTTTCCACTGACTAAAGGTCATAGATATCGTGCTACTACCTACTCCGAACCGACACGACACGCGGGGGGATGATACCACGTAAACGAAGATTCAACATTGAAAACTAACGCTTACACGCTTTCGGAAGGGCTCGGGAGGGCAGGGAACGGATGTATGAACTACGGAAAGGCGGCGTCTTGCAGCGAGAAGTTGGGGGGGGTCGTGAGCAGTGGAAAGGCGACGAAAGGTAAGTACCTACCTCACATTGGACGTCATGCACAACACTCACCGCCGTGGTCGTTCTAAAGCACTCGGCACCTCTCCTGGTGCGTTCTCGATTGCGGGCGCCGGTTTTGTGGATGAAAATACGTCGTTTCGACGCAAGAGATGAGTAACGACGACGTTTTGAAGCTATGGAGGTGTAAACGGAGTCCGGGGCATGCTAAACGATAAGGTAAGGTCAGTTCAACTCTGTAGGTTGCTGTAAATCTAACGTACCTTTGTAGATTTGATTCCTCTGTCTCGAAACACCTCCAAAAGCGAGATGGAACACCTACGTGAAGATTGTAAGTCAAACACGTTGACGAGAAATGAAAGGACTAATGATATACCTTGGCAGAATCAGCATACGCGACGACGATAAGTCAAGTCAACGGCACGAGGGACATCAAAAGAATGACTTAACGTCTGCGACAGAGAGTACGTACACACGTATCCAATGTACACACCATCAAAAGAAAACCACGGAGGGCCGAGAAGTAAGTACACTTTGTGTACCCCATCTTGTATTTCAACAGAACTTCGGTTCATGCAGTAATAGTTCCATATTCTTTTTTACACAAGTTTTTTACTAACAAAATGTATTAGATTTCGTTTTACTATGTACGAAAAAACGATACGACACGCATGAACGGCAAGGCAACAATAAAACGTACGCGAAGACTCAACATTCAAACGTAACGCGTAAACGCCGCCAGAAGGGTATGGAATGGCATGAAACGAACGTATACACTACGGACAGTGGGCGCTTCGCGTTTACGAGCTGGGATAGGGTTGGAAAGGTCGTGTAAGGTGTATTTATGTCTTGTTAATCCTTAACAATACTGACCGCATGCTATACATGGATATTTTAGCATTCTAAATGTAGCAACCTTCGCATATCATTTCCGCTCTGTTGAGTTCAAAACATGGGGAAAATGGGCGCCATTTCTTTTTTTAAAAAACTAAGCGTAAGTATAATTTCTCAAACTACAAAAAATCCGAGCACGTACTCACCTCCCTCAATCAGCTTTACAAGTGTTCGGGGTGCTACGCACCCCTTGCAGCCGCCATAAACGACGACGAGCAAGAGCGCGTGCATACGACATTGGGTGGGGAGACTAGGGCCTTTTGTTAAGAGTCAAGGCATACGCTCGCCGCGGGGCCAAGATCTCAGAAAAAAAGAGCCACAAATCTTCAAAAAAAACACAGTTTGAGTGTAGGCGTCGATTTTTGCAATAACGTGGAAGTGTACTTACTATGTTTTAGCATGCTCGAGGTGCTATGCACCTCGTGGGGTCACTGTGAATGATGACGAGCGAAAGCGCATGAATTCGACGTTGGGAGAGTTGCCACGGCCCTTTACTCAGAGCTGAGGGGTCCAAAAAGGGCGTGATTTCCCTATAAATGAGCGTAAGTATAATCCCTCGAACTACAAAAATCCGAGCACGTACTAACCCTCTTCAATCAGCTTTACAAGTGTTCGGGGTGCTATGCACCCCTTGTGGCCGCCATAAACGACGACGACCGAGAGCGCACGCATAGAGTCACCACGGCTTTTTCCTAATAGCCAAGGAATCCGCTCGCCGCGGGGCCAAGATATCAGAAAAAACGGCCAAAATCTCCAAAAAAACACGGTTTGAGCGTAGCCGTCGACTATCGCAATAACGTAGATGTGTGCTTACTATGTTTTAGCATGCTCAAGGTGCTACGCACCTCTTGCAGCCACTCTCAAAGAGACAACAAGTGAAAGCGAATGAATACGACGTTGGGAGAGTCGCCATGGCCTTTTACTGAGAGCAGAGGGGTCCGCTCGCCGCGGGGCCAAAACCTCAGTAAAACAAGGCACGAACCTTCGAAAAGCGGGCTGTAAGTGCATAGTTTGATTAGCATAGCGTAGGCGTGTACTGACCTTTGTTTGGCAGCCGTCTGAGTGCAGGGCGCGGACTCCGTAGACCACTTTCAAAAAATGCGGTCTGTGCATGCAAGAGGTAAGTTGACGAAAGATTTGAATGCTTAAGACACTTACTGATGGATAGGATGTCTAGGGGTTGTTACACGATGTCGAGCATGCATCCCTTACTTCCGTTAAGAACCCCTAAGGATTTATCGAGAACGTCGTGGTCTGCTCATCATAAATTTGACTGTCCTAGGAGAAAACATGGTGAGTACCTGCGTATTCGTGCTGGATAAGCAAATACTGACCTTCTAACTTTCAGTAGACTTAATTTTCAGTCACTGGAGTAGCGTTTGTAAGTAAACAGCTTATGTTTAATCAAATATGAATGTACCTTTCATCCAGAACTCGTTAATCAGCGAGGGAAGCGTCAGACAATCTTAGATTCGGGTGGTGAGTAATTTGCGCTCATCGTGGAGAGCAACGTTGAGAGGCTTACCTTGTCATAAGTCAGCATATGACAATGATGAGGAAAGTGGCGATGAGGAAGGCTGCGGTAGCAAGGAGTGTGAGAGGGAGCAGATGATGGAGGAGATAATAGAGGAGAGGAGGAGAGGAACTTGGGAATGGAGAGTTGACGACAAATTCGCCCAGCTTATATAGAATTTGGAAAGGGTTGTACGGGCATATCCGGAATAGTACGTACCTGTCAGGGAATGGAACATTTGACAGATAATGGGATTGAAATGAATTGCGTTGGCAACTTTGGAATTGGTTGATCGGAGATACATGCCGTGCGCTATTTACTGTATCTTCACCCCTCCATTATCCATTTTATTCACCAATGGTAGGAATTATATTATATTTCTTGGTATGTGAATCAGTAGAAATGAAAATGTAATGGTGTATCTTCACGCATACTTTTGTGTAAATGGAAAGTGACTCTGTGTGCATACTACATAACAAAGAAATACAATGTTCGGGATCGCGCTGCTCAAAGAAAAGGAAATACTACAAGATAAAAAAATTCATGGCCATCTAGTATTCTGAAGTAATACCCCTAAAGAATATCTGATAGGGGGATAGACAAAAGCGGACAATTGAATAGTAGAAAATTGAGGACAGCCTCCTACCCACCTTCGAATGAAGATTCACCGCAAAGATCGCACAAAAGTGCTGGGTGAAACACGTTTGGCCTGTCAGGTAGGACCCTTGATGGTGCTAATTTCTGATGTGGAAGCTTGGCAGAAAGTGCCCGTAAGGTGCTGGCACTTTCTGTGGATTCTGGATTCAATGCGGGGACCTGGAAGATGGAACGAGAGACAGAAAAGATTTCACAAATCAAGGAATGAATGGTGCTAGTGAAAATAGAAGGAAGGGGTAATTAGGTCTAGAGCTGGACCCTTGATGAAAAATGAAGAGTACGTAAAGAGGCAGAAGTGGAAATGGGGGAGGAGGAGATGGGCCTTTGGTTGTCCGATGCGCTGTCTCTTCATCTTCGACGCGCAGCACAACAAAGCAACGCGCTCACTTGATTCTTTTTTCAGCATCTGAATATACATCACCAGTATCAAATACTGTACCGTTTCAATGACTTCTTCCTGTTTATAAAATGTGATAAAAATTACGGATGCAAACAGTAAATTTTCCCAATACAAATAAGTGGCCGGAAGTAAAAGCATCTAGTCAAATGTAGGCTATCAATCAGAAGGATATTACATTATACGTATTGTCATGTGTCAAGATTAGCAATTCCGGAAGACACACAGAAGAAAGCAGTCAAGGACAATCAGGTGGACTTACTGAATTGTGCGGGATCATTGAAACGAGATTGCACAAGACTCTCGCCTACGTTCGGAAATACATCTAGGGTCAATTCAGTTGATCGCGGTGAGTTTTCTGAAGATGGGAGGAGTGGATGGACACACATATAGAATATTCAAGTTCGTCATTTCATTGGAATCATGAGGGAGTTTGACCAATTTAAAACCACTGATAATGTTATATCTACTTCTTCAATTGTAACCTTTGGATTTCGGTCAGTCATTGATCAATGGAGGGGGGAACGGAGGAAGGCAATTGGCGCACCTTGAATTTCCGGATTCAGATCTGATCGATGTGCACGGCCACCTTTCTTTCATCAACCCTCATTCTCGTGAATCCTTTGTGAGCCTAAAATGTTGCAACCCTTTGTAACTGCTGACCAAGTGATGCCAGTGTTCCATTCTGCTGGGATCACTAATCGGGTCGTTTGTCGTGCTGAAATTATGTGAGCACTGAGCTGGCATTTCATGATTGTGTTTGTGATACGTAACCCGCTGGGTCAGGGTTCAGATCAGCAGCAAGCTTTCTTCGCAAAGTCAACATGCCCTAGAAAAAGTCCATTCTCCGTGCATCAAAGCCTGAGTCTGCAAATCTAAGTTCAAAGTTCTAGATCTTTTGCGGATAACTCATTGTTATTCATGCCCATGTCATCAGAGTAAAGTACCTGTCAGTGGTTCTCTGCCAAGTACTTTATTCTGCTGAAATGAGCATGAATTGTAAGCTAAATAAGTGAGGAAACCGAGAAAATGTTGGCCACTCAAGACACCATTCAGCATTCTGTAATGGGTTGGGATAATTCCAAAATCTTCAGCTTGAGAAAATTTTCGATCAGGCAGGGTAGTTAGTGATCTGTTACGGAAATGATTTCTAGGGAGGGTTGCCCAGGCCATCGCGAAAATAAACAGCAAGTCAGAAGTTTGCAACAAGGCTGAAAGATCATACCTCGCAGATCCCCGCAGCCCTTGGCTGCTCCAGGTATAAAGCCTCACGAAATATTTGGCGACTTTTGTCCTTCTCTCCTCTTCCTAAGGGGTCCTAATGCCCCTCCTCCCTATGTTTCTTTTTCATGTGCTCCTCTTTGTTCAACAATGTTGTATCCATACATCCATCCAACAGGCAATCTCTTATTCTGTTCTTTCTATGCCTATTCAATATGCGATGCAAAAAATTTGAAGCAAAGTTTTGGCCCCGCGGCGAGCGGACCTCTTTTAATGAAGGTCAGTGCCTGCTTGTTTTTTTGGTATTCAGATGTATGTACTGATACTCACGTTTTTTTGAAAGATTCGTACCCTTTTTCTGAAGTTTTGGCCCAGCGGCGAGCGGACCACTGGCCAGAGTTAAAGTCTGGCAGTCGAGTGATGAAGACCTTTGTTGAACAAAGGGTTCGAGGATGAGCGGTGTAAAGCACCACGACGCCGACCTTTTCAAATGCAATGTAAGTCATTTATCTTTTCAATAGTGTGTGAATGATACTTACCGATTTATTGTAGAGTTCTCGCTGCCGTCATGATTGTGGACGATTGCCTGTTCACTACGTCCACATCGCCTTTCTTAGCCTCGGTCGATGACTGTCCTGATATTGACTAATGTATCAACATCCACTAAACGGGGGTACGTTAGTGTATGCATGTTCAGGGAGGCAAAACTGACTTACTCTTATCGTTTAGCTTCCTACACGTCTCCAGGGCTCGAAAACGATATATCGCCTTCCGCAAAAAATATGTATAGGACTGTGGATGTGTCTTCAACCTTTCCCAACATATACACAATGCCCCGTGCCCCTCCAGATCCCAAAATGACGTATCGTCACCTGCAAAACGGATGCACGCCACTTGGAAACCCTTTCACATTTTCGCGACCGTTACACACTGCCATGCACGCCTCCTAACCCTCTTCCGCAAAACGGTCGCACGGCACCCTCCAGCTTTGATACCCCTTCCACCTCGCCATGGGTTTCCCAAGCTTCGAGACGATGTATCGTCGTCTGCTCAACGCCCTCTCTACATGCTAGCAAGTTTTTCCCACTGTTCCACAGCGTCCTGCATCCCTCCTGGCCCCAAGACCACGTGTCGTCATCCGGAAAATGATCACACGCCACCCTCCAGCTTCTGGAGCCCTTCCACCTCGCTATGGGTCTCCCAGGCTTCAAGACGACATATCGCAGTCCGCTAAACACCCTCTCTATGCATGGGATGGCATTGGCTGGGGTTGGGAACTTCGAAAAGACAAGAATAAAGAGGTTTGGTAAGTGTTTAGATCCATAAGGGCGAAGAGGTGCTTACCCATTTCGTTTAGAATTCTTCCACAACACCATACACCCCTCCTGGCCCCAAGACAATGTATCGTCGTCCGTATATTGGCCACACGCCACCCTCCAGCTTCCAAAACCATTCCACCTCGCCATAAGTCTCCCAAGCTCCGAGACGACGTATCGACGTCCGCTAAACGCCCTCTATGTGCTTGGGAAAAATTCCGACCGTTGCACAACACCCTACACCGCTTATGGCCCCAAGACGACGTATCGTCGTCCGCAAAACGATCGTACACCACCCTTTAGCTTCAGAAACCCTTCCACATCGCCATCGGTTCCCCAGGCTTGGAGACGACGTATCGTCGTCCGCTAAACACCCTCTCTATGCGTGGGTCGTGCACGGATGTCGGATGGCATCCGTTGCGGTTGAAAACTGCGAAAATACAATAATAAATAGGTTTTAGCATTCTGAACACAAAGAAGTACTTACCTACTTCATTTGGAGTCATCCCCGCCCTTTGTTCCCTTGACGCAACATATCGACGTCCGCTAATCCCTATCCGGGCATGACATGGGTCCCGCCAGGGCTCGTTTCTCGTTTTCGGTCGACGTTGGCGGCTGGAACAACTACGCGCTGTCATTCTTTGAAGCTTTGGCAAAGGGGTGACTTCCTCACCCCCCCGCCTGCCTTCCACCTCTCCAAGGCTCGCCACGACGTATCGACGTCCGCCAAGACGTCGTTGATGTTCTACACGTGGTGCCACATGTTGTAGCTTTGATGTGGGTGAGTTTTACATTGCTTTGAGCTCTGAAATGATTACTTACTTCTTCAAAGATCGTTTACGTGCGCTACCAGCTTCTCAGTGTTTCCCGGCCTTGGCGACGTGACAAACGACATCAACTACGCCCTAACGCCCTCAACGCAAGTCCGTCTTTGAGTTGCGGCGTGTTTACTGTCAAGTTTCCATTGTTATGCAAGTTCATGGACTTACATTTCACATTTAGCCGCTTCAACACGTTACCGCACCTTTCCAATGCTCAACACAATGTATCGACGTCCACCAAACACGTTGGGACGTCGTTGACCTTGTTGAAATCAGTTGCATGCTGTAGCTTTCAGATAAAGGTGAATTTTAGGTTGGTTTGCATCATAAGGCGATTGCTTACATGTTTGAAGGTTGTTTACGTCCGTTACCAGCTCCCAAAGGTTCCCCGGCCTTTGCAATGTCACCAACTACATCAACTACACCCTGATCAGCTTCAACGCAAATTTCGTCCAGTTGTACTGTTGATCTTCGAGGTAAGTCGTTTGCTTTTGTGGTTATGAGAGTAGTCATGAACTTACCTTTTATTTCAGCCGTTTCAACGTTAATGCCCTCAATCCACCTTCCCAAAACCCAACACGATGTATTGACATCCACCGTACGTGTTGAGGGTGTCGTCGATGTTGTGCAAACACGCCGTTCGTTGTAACTTTTGAATACGTGAGTTTTGCATCGATTTGAGATGTGATTGTCCGCTTACTTGTTTGAAGGTCGTTTTCACGTGTTATCGCTTTGTGAACGGTGTTCAACCTTTTACACATCACCAACTATGCTGAAGGCGTCTTCCGCTTCGCGTATATTGTGATTCTTTGAAGTAAACGGTAGTTTTACCGTTATGCGAGTTTTCATGGACTTACTAACCATTCTAACTTGTAATTGCAGAACTCTGTGCATTTATGACGTTGTTAGTAAGTTTGGAGCCTTCAGATAAGAGTCTGACACGTACCTTTGGTGTTTGACGAACTTGGCAGGAGGAGAAATGTTTGTTTGGTTTTGTTACATTTCGTAGATACTTCACGTTTGTCGTCGATATCAAATTTATGGGGAGGTTCCGCTCGTCCGTCGTACCTTGTACTGAAAATATGACGAAAAATTGTTGAAAACTTACCACTTTTCACAGCTGACTCTCAATCGCCTTTTTAACTTTAAATGGCTGCTTTCTTGTTGGTCCGGCAGCTACTCGGACTTTGAATCAACACGCAAGCACAGCATAAACAAACAACACGCTTTCCTTCTCTCTACCAAAATGACGCGCTTCTTGCACGAAGAATGTCACCGCTCTCTCTCAAGCCACCTAGAAAAATGACACTCTCCTCACACATCTGGGCCAACCTCCCACTCGAACTCATCCGCGAAATCCTACTCCACATCGCCTCTTCCCTTCCCCATCAAGCCCATTCCCTCCGCCTAATCTCCTCAGACGTGAACATCCTCCTCCTCCGCTTCCTCTTCCGCCACCTCTCCTTCACGCTCCCAGAACACATCTTCCGCTTCACAACCATCATCCTCCCAAAGCGCCGTCACTACATCCCAGCCCTAAAATCCAAACTACACACATCCCCAAGACCACTCTCATCATACAACGTCGATTCCCTCGTGCTAGTCGTAGACGACCGACGTCCGTCCATGGAAACGGCGCTCGCCAGCGTCGGGCCTGTATTTGGCGGATTAACAAAGTTGGCGATTACGGGGCAGAGTTTATCTGCGAACGCGTATTGGTTACGCCAGCACCCCATTTACCCAAGGTTCATGATGATAGTGCATCATGGTTCACCGCACCTTGTTAATTTTCATGAACCGGTTTTGAAGGGCGTCACGCACCTTTATACCTCCATCACGCATGGCCATCGCTTTTCGAGTGTTGCGGACGTTCCGGGGCTTACGCACCTTGCCGTTCACGCGCGTGTGGGGTTGTCGGCGGATACGGCGGCAAAGGTTGCGTATTCCCTACAAACAATCTTGGATACCTGTCCAAAGCTGGAATGTCTCGTTCTCAGTCTAAACGCAGATTCCCTGCGTGATCCACATCTAGAAATGTGGGACTACGTCCTTGAAAAATGTCTCGCGGACACGAGGTTCATCCTCCTGCCGTACTACCGACTCCCGCGTGTTGAATGGGGTGATATTGTTAAGGGTGAGGGGAGTATTTGGGCGAGGGCGAAGGAGTGGGTTAAGATGGAGAGGGAGGAGGTTAGGGAGATGACGATGGTTGCTGTTGAGCGGGAGAGGAGTATGCTTCCGTGTTTGAAGCACCCTAAAGAGGGCGAGTGGGAGATTGATTTGGTGCAGAGGGATGATTATTGGCCCAGGGATGAGAACCCGGATGCGGTGGGGGAGATGGAGTGGTTGGCTAGGGCGAGGTGATGGGATTACGGACATCAGGGAGAGGAGCTCAAGTGTTGTTTTTTCTTCGTGTTCGTCCCTTTTCGTTCTCATTAGGAAATCAAACTGATTCGTGTTTAGATCGTTCATTGAGGGACCAAGTTTCAAGTCCACGTATGCTTCATGGGACACAACTTCTTTGTCTGCACTATGCACACCTTTCTGCTCTCGGATAGGCTTCGTCCAGTCCGGACTTCTTACACCCTCCTGGTTATTTTCCTTTGAAAATATCTTACTTCCTGGCGACGTCGAAATCTACACGACTCGTGGCAGGTGTAGCAATGCCGGTCCTCAACTTTGATCGACTCTCCACCCCTTCAACCCCTTCTTCTTCGCACACAGATCATGGGCGCTCCGCCATGACAGTGGAAACTCCAATTTCTGTATGACTACGAAGGTCGTTTCCAGAACTAAACCATGGTCGGGTTTCAACTGTTCAATGCTCCCTTTCGTCTTCATCTTCGTCCTACCTTCCCTTTCCTTCAAACTCAACTTGAACGGCGGAGTCAAGTGATGCGGTTGTTCATTCTCTTTGCGACAGCCAAGAACCGTTGGCTCTGCCTTTATCTAGGGTCGATTTGGATAGATCCCCGCCTTCCAGGATCGACTCTTTCCTACTTCCAATCTCCCAGGTCGTCTTGGCCAGGCTGGAGTAGCAACCGTCGTTGTCATGCGCACATCCGAGAGCTTCAGCTTCATCTCGTACCTCCAAATTGTCTTCGTCCAGTCCGACTTCTTACACCTTCCTCCAACATACTTTACTTTCTGACACCGTCCACCCTCTTCCGATCTATAAATGAACCCGAGCCTGGTTCAGGAATCACGTTGTGGCAGGCTTTCAGTGGAATGTAGATCCATGACCCACTGAATCGACTCTCCAACCCTTCGCCCCCTAAACACAGATTGTCTGGACCATGCGTCGGGTTACAGTTGTCATATGCTCCCTTTTGTTTTCGTCCTACAAGACCTTCCCTTCAAGTTGAACTCAATTGAACAGGGGGGTCAAGTGATGCGGTTGTGTTCATTCTCTTTGCGACACCCATTGGCTCTGCCTTTATCTAGGGTCGATTTGGATAGATCCCCGCCTTCCAGGATCGAGTCTTCTCTCCTTCCAATCTCCCTCAGGTCGTCATGGAGCAGCAACCATTGTTGTCATGCGCATACCCAGCTTCATCTTCATTTCGTACCCTCAAATCCGAGTGCCAGGATTGTTTATGTTCTTTCTGCATTATACTCCTCGGGCCATGCATGTCCCAGGTTGGGAGTTGCAATTGTCGCTGTCGTTGCGCCTCCATTTCGTACCCTCGGATTTGCTTGTCAGAACTATAGGCAAGGTGTGGGTGATTGGTGGTGATGAGTGGGCGAGGCATGAGTGAAGGTTAATCCAAGATTGGTTCGTGGTTGTTCCCTTCAAAATCTGACCTGAATCTGACTCTTTTTCATAGATCGATTTCGAGGGAGGGTATGAACCCGCGAAACTATCATGGATCGATTTTTGGACCACACCTGCTTCTTCTAGGCTGATCCCCGATATCCGGTCAAGGCTATAGTGACACTAGATCTTGCGAGTCCACAATAGATTCGATGGGCGTGTACCTTTCTTTTCATGAAGCAAGCGCCCACCACATGCCGTTTCAGGCCCTTCTGCATTATACATCCCCCTCCGCCACGGGTCATATATGCCCCAGGTGGGAGTTGCAATTGTCGTTGTCGATGGTCCGCCTCCGTTTCGTACCCTCGAATTCGCTTGTCAAAACTACAAGCAAGATTGAGGTGATTGGTGGGTGAGGGCCAGGTGATAATGGCGCGGAATAAGTCTAGGTTAATTTGCGTTTGGTTCGTGCTTGTTACCTTGATACCTAACCATGCCTTTCATAGATCGATTCAAGGGAGGGTACAACCCGCGAAACAGTCATGGACAGAGTTTTGGACCACTCTTGCTTCTTCTAGGCTGATCCCGATATCGGGGCAAGTCTATAGATCTTGCGAGTCCACATTAGATTCGATGGGTCCACGAAGCAAGCACCACCTGCCATGGTCAGCCGCCGTAGCTTCGCCATCTGCTATTCCAATCTTACGATTCCCCGGCTTACTCTTCATCCCAAAGCATCTGATCGCTGGATCATACACCAATTGTCGATGTTCCCTTTCCATTTCGTCACCTCGAAGTCGCTTGTCAGAACTATAATCAAGGCCTGGGTGATTGGTGGGTGAGGGCCAGGTGATTCGTGGGCGGGGCTTAGGAGAGAGAATGTCCTCGTTTGGTTCGTGGTGATTACCTTGAAATCTGGCCTGAATCTGACTTCTTTTTATAGATCGATTCAAGGGAGGGTCATGGATAGGCTGATCCCGATATCGGGGGGGCAAGTTTATGGTGACACTACATAGATCTTGCGAGTCCACATAAGATTCGACGGGCGATACATATCATCGGCAGTGTGTGCCTTTTCTTTTTGTGGAGGAAGCGGCCACACGCCGTGTCAGCCACCGTCGCTTCGCCATCCACGATTCCAATCTTACGATCCTCCGACTTCAGCCCCAAAGCATATTGACCGCTGGACTATACTCCCATGACGAAGGCCTCCATTTCGCATCTCACATCCTGGTTTAGTCATCAAGTTTTGGGTCCCCCCTCCCGTATCCAGGTTGATTCTGATGTCAAGGCCTGCAAGGAAGATCTGGTCTCTCCCATCCACCTGCCTCCCTCCGTTCTCCTTCCGACTTGCACTTCAGCTTACATAAGCTCTGCCAATTGTTGAAGGCCGTCAACCTCCATTTCGTACCCTCGAACCATGATGCGAATGACAGAATTAGAAACGGACTATTTACGTTCTTCTGCATTTATGCGCCCTCTCCGAACGGGTGCGCCAGTGAGCTATCTTGGTGTTTTCCATTGAACATCGGTACCGGATCTTCTGACTTCCTTTCTGGTCACGCGGACACTTGTCTATACGTCCATTCTTCTGCATACCATGTTAGGAGCTCCAGACATGTATCAACCCAGTCTTACGACCACAATGATACATTTTTTTTTTTTTTTTTTTTTTCGAGTCAAATTTAGAGTCCATTAGGGCGAGGCCCTATGTCAGACTTTACAACTTTTGTAGACTACCTATGGCCCCTAATGCCATGTATTCCTGACCCCCTTGAGATTGCCCCATGCACTGTTGAGGGCACGCCCACGGTGAACATTCCCCCACCCAGCCCGGCACGAAAACGCCGTTTTGGGACACATCTGTATAAGTGAGCGGGGTAGTCTCGTCATCTTGCTTATCTTTGCAATCCATCTTAGTAGTGTTTCGGCTTGTTAAGTACCCGATCGCGAGGCGACAGGCACAGTCGGTGGGACGAGCATGATCAGGTGAAAGACAAAAAGTCTTGGTGTTTCCGTGTATCTGTCTTCATGTGTTTTCGGCGTTATCCTTGTAGCTGTTGAGAGAAAAGGTCGTCTGCTTGGGGTCCGCAGACTGAAAAGCGGGTAGAGGAGAGAGGGGGGGTGTTTTGGGCGAGCCCGCTGGCTGGGGCCAGCTATTCTGTTGAGACCTGTGCTGTAGTAAAGATTCCTGAAAGCGTGCGTTATCCATCAATCTTCCTCAGTTTCTAAGTGGGATACATCACCTATTGTGTCTCCAAGCGTTGTCTTGAGCCTGGCCGTCCTCCCCACGAATTTGAGCAGTTCCTTGACCCTGTCCAAACTTGCCAGGATTCCTCGGAGATCCCTCGAGTGACGACCCAGCGCCCTATCCATATCATATCGCTCTGCCGCGTACGTCTGACACTCAAACAGGAAATGCACCACTGTCTCCGTGATCTCCAGCCGCTCCCTACTCCAGCATGACGCGCAACGCCCGTTGGTCGATTTATTGATGCGATAGAGGTAGCTATTGAGGGGTATGTGGCCGGTTCGTATTTGTGTTAGTAAACTCGCCTGGGGCCTGGAGAGCCTGTCGCTGATTTTCCGGAACTTGTTGAAGGGGAAGTCCTTGTCGACGTGTTGGAACCTGGCGTATCGTGGTGACTCTTTCCATGCATTCTTCCACCTGACCTTCAGCTGCACTCCAAACTCCTGCTTCACCGCTGATGCGCTATACGGCAAGCGCTTGCGTAGTATTGGGGGCAGCTCCTCCCATGGGCTTGAGTCGCCCTGTGCCGCTTTCTTCGCTTCTTCATCCACCCTTTCGTTCCCCTTCACCCCTGTGTGAGCCGCCACCCACTTGAGCGCAAACTTGTCAGTATCGTTGGGACCTGGAACATCAGTTCCGTCTCCCATAATCTCTGTAAGGCCCAGGTAACCCATTACTAGGTATTGGCCTGGGCCCGGTTTCCTCGTGTTTGTCGCCTTTATGAAGGCCTGACTGTCTGTGTAACTGGTGATCGTCGCCTTCCCTACCTCTGGTTGATCTTGTAGCATCCATGCTGCAAGAATAGAGCCTACCGCCTCTCCTTCGAAGGTGGTATGCTTCGTCAGTGAACCTAAATGAAAACGTAAGATCCTTTCAGGCTCCTCAACCCCTTTCCTGTAGAGGACCGCCGCTGCCCCTACCCCTCCTTCGAACCCTGAACCATCGGTGTAAATCTTGATGTCAGAGTCGTCCTTCGCCTCGTCTTTTATCGACTCTTCCTTCGAGCTTGCGACCATTGCTGTGAAGGCCCTCTTGTACGTCGGTGGCCGTGGGTCTGGTCTGATTGTTTCAAAGCGCCGTGGCTTGATCTTGAAACATTCTATCAACTTCTGCAAAGGGGCAAGGTGAGTTTTTGCTGGGGTCTTGCTATATCCTCGTATCATGGCCCTAAGGGGGTGGCTGTCGGGTAAGGTCGCGGTTCGGACTACAGCCGCGTGACATATGCGCTCGAGCATGAGATTCACCGGAAGAACCCCGGCATGTGCATCCAGCAGGTCGTTCGGTGAGGTCCATAGGCCCCCTGTGATTGCCCTCGTTGCTATCCTCTGTATCTTCCCCATTGCCTTTTGCGCCCTTACTGACCCGCTGTTGTTCCGTTTGCCTTCCTTCTTGTGCGGAGGCACAAACCAGACATCCAGCGCGTAAGTCATCTTGGGAACTGCCACCGAGATATACAGTAGTCGCATGAGCTTTGGTCGGATACCTAGGTTAGTGCGGGTTAGTCGACGGAACATCATGATATATGACGTAGCCTTCACCAAAGCCCCATTCTCCTGTACTCTCCATCGTAACTGAGCATCGATGTGCACCCCCAAATACTTGTAGCTCCCAACTTCTTCTACAACCCTCCCTTGCAGCCGGAGTACCGGATTTGGGCGATCTTCAGGTTTCCTTGCTTGCGGCTGGCAGTGCATCACGGCCACTTTGCTGATTTCGAAGTTTGAGTTGTGGTCCTTGGCCCAGTCGAAGCCTCCTTCCCTTCTCTCCATAAAGCTCTTTAGTGCTCGTGTCGTTTCCTTGAATGTCTTTGCCGTAGCTACCACCAGAGCGTCGTCCACGTAACCGATGGCGTCTTCATTCAGCCGTCGTAAGGCCTCCAGCAGGTCCGCGTTGTAGATGACGTAGAGTAGCATTGAGATCGGGTCGCCTTGTCCGATACCGTTTGTGATTTCGATGAACTCTGAAATAAAGTCGTCAAACTTTAGCTTGGTCTTACGTCCTTTCAGCAGCCGCTCGATGAACTTGACATAAACGGTTGGTATTCTTCGCTTCTTGAGATTGTGTATGAGCCTGTCAGTGACCGCGTTTGGGAAGGCCCCCTCTACGTCCAGGAAAAGGACCGATGCGACCCTCTTTTTGCCCCAAGCTGACTTGATCTTTCCTACCAGGTAGTGAATGGCGTCCGTCGTGGTTCGGCCTGGTCGTCCTCCGAAGTGTGTGTCTGGCAGCAGGGCGTCCTTTTCCACCATGTGTGAGATGTTCTCCGCGACAATTGCTGTTAGTACTTTGGGTATCGTGCAGAGAAGGGCTATTGGACGGTAGGCTTTTGGTATCTCGTAGCACGGTTTACCTGGTTTCCGGAGTACCGCCGTGGTAAACACCTGCCACCCTGGGCAGTAGGTGTTCAAAGCGAAGACGCCTCTAAAAAGATGAGTTAGATAGTCGATCAGCTGCTCCAAACACTTCTGCAAGACCACATTAGGGATCTCGTCTGGGCCGCACGCCTTGAAGGGCGACAACCTCCTGATTTGTCGTGTGATTTGCTCTGAGGTGATGATTGGCGGTGGAGGAAGCGGTTCTGGGTACTCGTGGTTCTCTGGGACCCTGGAGAGCTCTGGTTTCTTGGGAAAGAAGATCTGCGCCAATACCTTCGCCTTGCCTTCGTTGGTGTTGATTTCCTGCAGGAGGCCGCCCCCCCCCTTCGACAGGTACCTTGAGTGTTGGAATGCGT